AAAAGATGCACCTTCGCTTTATAAGCTCAATTCTTTGCCCCCTTGCCTTCATGTGATGCATTACATTTACTGACAGTCATGTGTCTTGAATCTAAATTGTTGTGTTTTAGTTTTTCTTCCATGGCTTCCTTTCATTTATTTTTTGCATACATTTTAATGAAATAGTAACCTTCTGTTGTATGTAGTTTTCTGAGCCACTTACTTCTGACATACTGCTTGGTTTATGAGTTTTTTTGTCATTCCACCTATTTGTATTTCTAAAGGGCTGTGGTCCCAGTTTGTCCTAATTGATTGAAAGGATGAATAAACAGGCAGGACATTTTGCAACAAGGGTTTGAAGAGTAGTGTAAGGCATGTCAGCAGCATAGCTGTCTATATACTCGTATACGTGTAGAAATGATATCAATTTAACTAGATCAGCCTCTAAATATCTTCTCTTACATTAGTGAATATCTCCCTTTGTGTAGACAATCCTAAATCGGTTTTGTTTTTAATTGTCCTTAAAGTGATTTATGAACATTAACACCAGGAATTTGCACCAATTTAATTAAATTTACAGGCAGTCCCCGGGTTACATGGATCCGACTTACATCGGATCCCGAAGCTAGCGCTCCCCCCAGCAGACCAGGGAGACGCAAAGCTAGCACCCCTCCCAGCCGACCAGGGAGACGTGGAGCGGCTTTTCTCAGCAGACACCTCAGCTTGAGAATAAAGGACTGAGGAGAGTGAGGTTTGGGAGAATAAAACTGAGCTCTGGAGAAATGTTTGGCTAGAGTTTCCCCTACAATATGTACCAGTTCCGACTTACATACAAATTCAACTTAAGAACAAACCTACAGTCCCTATCTTGTACATAACCCGGGGACTGCCTGTATATATTTTTAAATATTTTAAATCAGTGCAGTTTCTGCACTCCTGGGATACTGATAAACTGACGTTGGACTAGAAAATATATAATAAGTGTCTGGATTTTATCTTCAGACATCATAACTCCATGTAATCAAGCAAAGATGGGAATAAATGAAAATTTTAAATATTCAAAAGGCATGAAAATCCTGCGAATTTTATTAAAGATGTATGCTGCTAACCCTCAGTTTTCTCAGACTTTTAGTCAGTGACTGTTACTTGGAAAATTTCCCAACTAAAAATGGGTAGGTAAACAGGTTGCTTTATTTTATCTCCCTCTCATTCTATATGTTTATTGTAGAGTATAAGCTGTTGGAGTGGAGACTTTCTATATGTGGACAGCGCCTAGCACAGTATGGATACTATGGTCATGCAAATAATAAAATAACAGCTTGACTTGCATGTTGGGGCGGAGAATTTGAGTCCTATAGACATCCTCATGAACCTATATGAAAATGCACTTCAGAACACTTAGGAAATTGAGAATTTCTTGATCTCTGGTTTAGCTTATGGAATAATTTTTAGTGTAAGTGTTGTCTTTGTTGCGATTGATATAATTACCCATAAACAATAGATATAGTATCTTCTAGCTTAGAAAACTGATGGAATATTGTCTGTTTCAGAGTTTTGACTAGCCTCTTATTGATCCTCCTTAAAGCTGATTTGATCATTCAATACCAGTAGAAAAAATGGGATTAATCAAAGTAAAAACATGAGTTTTCGAAACCTTGTCATTTTGCTAAATCTCCTAGGCTACGTCTACATGACAGGCTTCTTGTGCAAGAAGACTTTTGCACAAGAGTTTTTGCACAAAAACTTCTTGTGCAAGGGCATGTCCACACCTCAAAGTGCTTTTGCGCAAGAGAGCGTACACACTGCTGAACGCTCTTGCGCAAGAAAGCTCTGATGGCCATTCACAGAATGGCCATCAGAGCACCTGTGTGTTTTTTCATAGGGGTTTCTTGCGCAAGAAACCCTTCTGGAGCGTCCACACTTGCCTTCTTGCACAATAGCTGTAGTGCTAAAAGCAGTTATGCCTCAGAAAAGGTTTATCTACGGTGGAAAAAGCCCTCTGTTCTGCCTTTTAACTGCCTGTTTAATTATGCAAGAGCTCATGTGAGATGTGGATGCTCCCTGGGTTTTTGCGCAAGAACCTTGTAGTGTAGACGTAGCTCTAGTGTAACTGCCACTAGGTGGATTTGAACTTGAAACCTCTGGCAGTTAGTATAGAAGCCGCTACAGCTTTAGCTATAAAGCCAGCTGGCTCTCAGCTCAGGCTGTAGAGCTCCCCTTTTCTTCTCTCTTGCTGTAAGTCATGTAAGTGCTACTTTCTGGGCTAGTGAACCACACTAGGCATTCCACTAGCTGAGGAAATGCATCCTGAGCTTCAGAGACTCAGTTGAGATCCTGGATGAGCCCCCCCACTTGTAACTGCCATTGGGTGGATTTGAACCGGAGATCTCTGGAGCTTAATGTAGAAGCCTCTGCAGCTCGTGTTATAAAGCTAGTTGGAGTTATAGCTCAATCTGTAGAGGCTCCTACACAAAGATCCAGGTTCAAACCCACACAATGACAGTTACACTAGCATATGGTGTATCTTTGTCTTTCGGATTGTAATCTCTCTGGGTATGTCTACATTTGCACCCTCTTTCGAGAGAGGAATGCAAATGAAGACATTCGAAATTGCAAATGAAGCTGGGATTTAAATATCCCACGCTTAATTTGCATTATGGCGCTATTTCAAAATAACAGACGCTGTTAAGATGCAGTTACCGTAAAATCTCGACTATAATGCGCACCTATGCATAATGCGCATCTAACTTTTAAATGTCAGAAGCTCTGAATAAATTGAACTCTTATCTATAGTGCGCACCCCGACCTTGCCGTATTTTGTCTTGCCTTTTTGTATTGTTGGATAACCACGCGTGAGCTCATGAGTATACAGTGCGCGGCGTTCCATGCTCTCTTTGGGATGCCATGAGTTGTCGGCGATCTTACACGACCGCTGAAAAACTGAAAGTTGTTAGCTATGCTGAGACTCATGGCAACAGAGCTTCCAGCCGTGAATTTGATAGACTCTATGTTAACATTCGGCTTTGTAGATGGCAGAAAGCGTGCCTGCAAGCGCTGTCTAGGATGAAGATGGCTGAGCGAGGTAAAAGCGCTGCATATCCTGAGTTGCAGGCCAACCTGGTTGAATAGATTGCTGAGCATAGACAGCAAGGCGGTGGTGTTAGCATTGCGGAGGTTAGAATGTAGGCTTTGACCATTGCCAAAACGTGTGCTAACACAGCCGGGTTTAAAGCTTCATATGGCTGGGACGATAGGCCATGGCGATTCACGAACCGATCAGTCCGATGCTGAACAGCAATCACAGAGAAGCCACCACTGGACTCAGACACCAAGTTACTGCAGTTCCAAAAGTTTATCATAAAGCTATGGAAGCAGCACTGCTACGACCTTTCATTAATTGGTAATGCAGATCAGACACCATTACATTTCGATAATCCCTACGACAGAACACTTTAACTGAAAGGTGCCAAGACAGTCTCCATTGCTACCACAGGCCATGAAAAGTCTAGGTTTACCGTAATGCTTGCTTGCGTGGCTGACGGAACGAAGCTGCCTCCTTATATTGTGTTCAAGCGCAAGACAGTGCCAAGGAATGTAATCTTCCCGAACACCGTTCACGTGCGTGTTCACCCTAAAGGCTGGATTGATGAAGTTTTAATGCTTGATTGGCTGCAGATGGTTTGGGCAAAGCGGCCAGGTGGACTTATGAGAAAGCGGTCTGTAATAGTTTTGGATGCATTTCAGTGTCATCGTATGCCATCCATCAACAAAACAGACTTGGCAATTATTCCTGGTGGAATGACCAAAATGTTGCAGCTGCTTGACGCGACAGTTAACAAGCCAATGAAAGATGCACTATGCAGGAAATGGAACATGTGGTTGTTGGAAAGTGAACATACATTTACTGCAGGTGGACGTATGCGAACACCAACGCTGCAAGATGTTACCCAGTGGATAGCAGATGTCTGGCTTGAACTTGATCCCGGTATCAGAAGGAAGGGGTTTCTGAAATGCAGCATCTCTAATGCTATGGGTGGCAGTGAGGATGATGCCCTGTAGATGGATCAGAGCGATGATGAATTGGCCGAGGGCGAATTACCGGTATGCGAAGATGACAATGATTTGTATTACCTGGATGAAGATGTCGAGGACTATACCCCAGAAGATATTGCTCAACTGTTCGAGGAAGATTCTAACAAAAGCGAATTCGAGGGCTTTGAAGATGAATAGATGATCAATTAACGTACCGGTATTTGCTTATTTGCGCTGCAGTGTTGATTTCATTTGTTTAACTTACCTTTTTGAAACTGTGTATATAGTTTCTTCTTGTTGCTAATAAAAATCAACTTAACTTCTGGTGTCCTGCGATTAATTAATTGCCGCGGAACCGTCAAATGAAAACTTTAAAAAAAAAACTCCTATGGATAATGCGCACCCTGACTTTAACACTTAAAAAAAATGGGGAAAAAACTGTGCATTATACTCGAGATTTTATGGTATTTTGAGAGAAAACCCTTCTCTCTAAATAACTGGTAAACCTTCATTTGCAATTTCGAATGTCTTCATTTGCATCCCTCTTTCGAAAGAGGGTGCAAGTGTAGACATATTCCCTGAAATAGTGTATTTTGTCTTGCAAAGTATCTAATGTTTGGTGCTTAGACTAAAGAACACTTTTTATCACTGCTGCTATTACCATGCATTTTTGTCCAATAGCTACACTTGCAGCATATCTGTAAGAATCACACACCATTGTCACACTTTCCAACAAAGCATCAGAAAGCTAATAGAGGCTGTGCACTTATGGGAAAAGAAAACTTTTGATATCCTTCTACATTAATATTGATCAGTCTGTCTGGCTATAGTAATAAACAGTCATTCGAAACGTGGAGCTTCAACTTAGGTTTTTAACCTTGCCTGCCATGTTTACATGTGACAGATACAGGACTGTTACAGAAGGTACTTTTTTGCTATAGTGCATATTTGGAGATGGACTGTCTTTAGTCTAATGTTCTTTTCTCTAGATGTGACAGTGGTTTACCAAAATGGATTACCTGTGATTTCTGTGAATCTTCCATCCCGGCGCGAGCGTTGCCAGTTCACACTAAAACCTATCTCAGACTCTGTTGGAGTGTTCTTACAACAGCTGCAAGAAGAGGACCGAGGAATTGATCGGGTTGCAGTCTACTCCCCAGGTATGTTGAATATGCAAACAAATGGACTACACACATTATTTCATCCACCGATAGCACCTTTTCAGGCATTACAGTTTTTTTAAAAGTCAAGTCTTGAACATGTTTAGCAGAAGTGCAGCCTCCAACATAAAAAGTATCTTGTTACTTCTCTGAAAGCATGCTCATGTATTGCATGGGCAGGTTGGACGGTGGTGAGAAGGGACACTTCTAATTCCAACCTCCAACTTGGAAACTTCTTATTACTAGTGCTGTTGCTTCCTTACCTTCCCATCTTGCTCTCAGAAAAGTGATTTGAAATCAAAGTTATGTGGAGCAGGAGCACGCTACCCTTGCTGCAACATTAATTACTGTAACTCTGTGAACAACTGCTCAAAGAACCTCATTTTTAGAAGTTACATAGGTATTTTGGAGTGAAGCAGTAAAGATTCTAAAAGTGGCCAAAAAGAACTTTATATTAATACCTCTGAATGAGAATCTTTTTAGCAAAGAATGAAAGATCAATGTACCATGGGCCAGTTTAAAAAAAAAAATCTTGAAAATAGAAATATGAACACACATCAGTTAACTTGTTTTCCCTCTCTCTGCCTGTCAGATCCAAACATCTAGAAAGGTGCTGGCATTTTCCCACTATGAAAGTTAGGCCTACAAAGTTATGCTTGATTGTGGCACCAGCATTCAAGTATGAGAGGCCTCCCATGGGCACATTCTGTTTAAAGAAATCCTAGAAGAATCATTCTTTTCCTTGCAATGGTTTTCACAAAATTAGATCATTCTGGGAAGAGAAGAAAGGGTCTGCTGCTACTGCTGCTCAAACATTTTTCGTCAAATGTATTTTTAAACCCTACAATCTAAACGTATTCAATCAGTTGAAATTCTGTAGTCCTGTGTTTAACAAGCAATGGTTTTGCTTCTTCATTAACTTGCGTAGACAGCCTGTGCCCCGTCTCCAAGTTTTTTTTATTAATCACCCAAACTACAGTTGCTCAGCTAGCTGTGCTATGGCCACTATACGTTTTGCTTGTGGTTACCCTAATGTCTAGTCTGAAGACATGACAGGAGTGTACCAAAAAGGATTATTCCGAGACTGTCAGTCACACTGCTGGAGGTGTCTAATCAGTTTTCAAGGAGGAGTATTCAGGGAGCAAAGTGCACTCAATTATTGTGCTTACATCTTCCATTTACCACCACACATTTAAAAACATTATTACTGTGGGGTCTCAGAATGACGACACATTTTTAGCAAGTCTTTGATGGGAAATTCAAAAAAGAGGACCCATCTGGGTTGGAGGTGTCAAAGCTGTTGTCACTTATTACATAGAGGGTGGAAGTAATCATTTTTTATGCCAACATCACATTATTTATAGAACCCTATGCAATACAAAATTTGTATCTTCCTCCAATCCACAAATATGATCCACAAATACAAAGCGGATATCCGCATGTTGGCAGGGATGGAATGATTAGATACAGGGCATCCAAAGTCTGTACTATTGCAGACCATGATAAGTACTTGTTACATGATAAGCTCCTGAAAGTACTTGTTACTCCACACAAACTACAGAGGGTTTACCCCCCACCCCATATGGATGATTCAGCAACTGAATAAGTCCTTGCTAAGAGAGGAATATAAACTGGGAGATTTTGCATGGCATGTCAGAGTAATAGCTGCTAGGGAATCATTATAGTTCCTGAACACTTTCTAAACCCAGAAATTGTGTAAGAAATGGTATCAAATTCCTTACCTGCTGCAGCTACACAGGTGAGTGGTCTGTTCCTAATCCTTAATCAGTCCATCTGTGATTTGTCTTATAGATGGCACACGAGTAGCCTCTTCAACTGGCATAGATCTTCTCCTCCTGGATGACTTCAAACTGGTCATCAATGACTTAACGTATCATGTTCGACCACCAAAGAGAGGTAAAACCAATTTGTTACATCTGAAAAATAACTTCAGAAATGTCTACTAGCAAATTCAGATCTTCGTTATTTAAGGAGCTACTTCAATTTCACCGATACCAGAACCTAGTTGACTAGGTCTGTTGTGAAGGACATTTGAATAAAAGCAGGTTGTTTCGAAAGTGAATCTTCCTGTTGTCTAATCAGCTATTTGAAGTCCTAATTCAAGGTTGGGCAAGTTCCAGCCCGCAGGCTGATCCAGCTCATGTATGCTTTTAATCTGGCCTGTGGCCTGCCCTGCCGGGATCCTCAGGCATGGAGTATCTCCATGCTGCTCCAAGCAGCACACTGCTCAGTGTGGCTCTCTGCACCATGCACTGGGGAGGAGGAAAGACTTCATGTGTTGCCTTCACCCCAGCACAATCTCTCCTGCTCCGATTGGCTGGAAGCCAACCAATAGGAGCTGAGAGATTATGCTGCTGGTGGGGGTAGCATGCAAAGCTTTCCATGGCGCACAGGGCAGAGAGCCACATGGAACAGCTAGCCTCTTTGAGCAGTGTGGGGCTTCAGGGAGTCTGCCTGAGTGTCCTGCTGAGTTGCTGGCCAGGGGCTGCCTAGGTAAGCATCTCCTGGCCAGAGACTGCCATTGGCACCCCATCCCCTCTTATACCCCAGTCCACTGCCCCCGATCACCACCCAAAGCCCCTGCACCCCCATTTTCTCCACCACCCCAGGTCACAACTTCTTCCCAGACCCTGCACCCTCCTTCTGCAGCTTTCCCCCAGGCCAGAATCCTCTCCTGTCCCCATACTCCCTCCCAGATCCTGCACCCCAATCCCTTGTCCCAGGTCACAGCCCCCTCCTTCACCCAAACTCTTCTTACACCCCTCACCATCTCCTGCACCTCAGCCCCCTACCCCGAGTTCCCTTCTGCACCCAACTTCCATCCCAAACCTCATACCCCCTCCATAGAAAAGTGCAGTCCTTGACCACTTACCACAGTCTTGGAGTAGCCCTCCATCAAAAACTATTACCTTCCCCTGTTCTAACTTCAATGTCTGTATAATTTTCAATAGCATCCAGTGTTCATAAACAAACACCCATTCTGTTCTCAAGCAACACCCGTACTAATAGAGGAATAAATAAATATAATTATAATACTTGGTTTAGGTTTTTGGGTGTTTTTTACTTTCAATTTGGGGAGTTAAATTCTTCAGTTTTAGATTCAAAATGTGACATCTATTAAAACTACTGGAAGAACCTTCCACATACAAATCATTTTCACGTACAAATCATTGAGGCATGCAAGCTATAGGACTTTGTGTTCTGAATGTGGCATATATAGTGTGGCCAGTAGAGGTAGCAACATGTGACCAAACTGTTACCAAAACTGTGTTGACAGTTGAGAGATGGTACTCCATAGTGAAATAAACTTAACAGGACCGTGCCAGCCTCTTCTTGGTGGGGTGGCTGATCTGGGCTAGCTAGAAAATTGAGAGGATTGCATTGTACATCTTATGAGCACACCTAAAGAAACACTGAGGCTTCTCCCCTTCCCCCATGTAGGATCCTGGAGAAACATGAGATCTCTGTCCCCTTGCTGCTTCTTCACAGGAAGGTTCCTATAGCTGCCATGGGCTCTAGACCAGTAGCTCCAGGTTCAGCCCCACACTGCCTGCTGCCCTCCACTACAGCTCAGCACCTGGCGAGCCTGCCAGCAGCAGCCCTTGGACAACCAAGGCAGCATAAACAGACCTCTTGACACATCTGCTGGCCCCTGCCTCTCCTCATAGCAGCAGCATCCTCTTGCACGCAAGATTCAGCCATACTTCCTGCTTTCTGTGCCACCCCGTGCAGCACCCAGTACTCCCTTACCTGGTTGCACGTTACTCCTCTACAACATGCCGGAATCCTCCTCACATGGTGCCTGCCCATCTGGGACTCCTCCCCATTCATATGCTTCTATTTGGCACTCTCCACCCTTCATCCACATCCCCATTCCCCTAACCATACTCCTTCCCCCTTCTTTATGCACACTCCTCCCCTTCTCTCTCCCTACATGTTCCATCCTCTCCTTCCTTGTTTGTTTCCATGCTCCTACTGCGTCCTCATGCTCGATATGACACTCTTATTTCTCCGCTGTTGCTGGCTGTACCTTCAGAACTAGGTGGTGGGAGAGCAGCACCTTCTAGCCGGGCACCCAGCTCTGAAGACAGCACCACTGTCAGCATGGAACTGCAGAAGTAAGGGTGGCAATTCTGTACCTTGCAAGTGTTAATTGTACATCACATTTGACTTCAGCCCCCAGTGAAAAGACAAGTTTTGGGGTGGCTATATTCCCCCCATTCCTCCCAACACTACCCCAGGTTGCAAACCTCTAAATAAAGAGAGGAGGCAAGTCAGTGTTTTAAGATGTCAGTAGCAAAATATTTTAAATCTCAGTGAGTAGGATTGGCATTGGTCTTCTGTGCTATAAATAGGACTCAGCTGAGGATTTGGGAGGTTTATTAAGATGATTTTTGGAGCACCCCAGAAGCAACAATATTATAGAGCAAATAAGAGGAAAGAAGTGCCCATTCTCAAGTCATTTTGTCCTCCTCTCTTCTCCGGCATCCTGTTGCAAGTTGAGTAAAGCCACAGCTGCTTATATTGATCTGTGCCCAGCAGCCAATACTTGAAAAAAAAAAAAAAACTTTTTCAAGGATCAGTTTTCCAAATAAGGTAGAGGTTTGAGAGCTGGTGGATTCTTAAATAATGGAGGCTTTTGTGTGCATTCTGGTCACTTTGTATATCTTGTTGCATAATATTTCATCCCAACACCACTAGAGGTGATGGAACTCTTGCTAATTTTCTCTCAGCTATCAGTAGTAATCTGAACAACGCTGCCCATTGGACCACAGAATTAGAACTAGGATCTTCCCCCAAATTAAGGGATTAGACTGTTTTCTGGGTTCCAATGGCCAGGTTAGAGGACTACAGTAGGGACCATGAATTACCTGATCTTTAGGAAACATCAGTGACAGAGCAAGGGATAAATGAAAACACAGATTAGCCCTAACACTTCCAAGTTCCAGAAATTGGTGGTCTGCTCAGGACATCATGTACACCTGTGCTCTTCGGGAAACAATAGCTTGCTACTTTAAAAGCAAATGGTCCTTAGAAAGTACTGATGTACATCTTAATGTCCTCTGTATAGTTCTCAAAGCTCTAGCTGAACCACTGACAAACATGCTACAGGTGATAAAATGGATTTCTGGAGATACGTGGCAGTAAAATGCCATCATCTTCAGGTTGCTAGCGTACAAGTCCATGAATTATCCTGTAACTATGTAAAACAAAGGCTCCTACTTCTTAAATTCACATATTTAAAGCTGTCTTTGAAAAGATGTATCAATGAAGAATTCACTTTGGAGGCCATTTGCTCCCCTCTTTAATGTGCCTGAGAGGTCATTTCCCCACTCTTGACTACTGATTCTCCCTCCACACATTCCCATGCCCCAATTGGTCTAAGGAATGAGACATAATTTGAACAAAATGTGTCCTAACCATAAACCACTGGGACCTAAAGCTCTTCTCAACCAGTCTTAAGACATTATACTACATTGATCTGCCCATTAACCTCTCGTTTTCTTTGTAAAATCAAATATGCAATTATATACTTGTGTGCACTGGGAGGAGTTATTTGTTCCAGAGTACAACAATTCATGTAACTTTAATACATGATGGCGACTTGACCTAACACTTGATCAGCTATATTTACACAGCTCAGCTGTGTGCTAGCACAGACAGTAGTAGTGCAAATTCAAATGGAGTCTAGGATCAGCTGTTCAAATTTAAATTTTCACCACTAGCTCATTCTCCAAGGAGAATTCCTTGAATAGCAGCTGGCTGTAAAATTAATATTTACCAACAACCCTCACCCTTAAGTTTCATATAACTTTTTAGCTGTATTTTCATTTGACAAATACTCTCTCAATATATTTTAGAAAATAAAAGCCAAGAAACCATACATTTGAGTTTAAAAGATATTTTCAGCCAAGCATGCAAGTAGAAGCCACTTCCTTTTTAAAGGGCAATTTATTGTTCATATTAAAGAAAACAGTTGATCTTTGAGTTAAATAAAAGATTAACTGTGCTTTAATATTGAGCCATCTCTGAAGCTGCTGGTGTTAAATGTACCTTTTTTTTAAAAATCTTTATTATTGAATGGATGTTTTTCACACACAGTTTGGTTTCTAGGTCTCAGTTAAACCTACAAAACAAGCTATACAATTTTCAGGTTTACTGCAATTTACTGAATACAAGTTTATATACAAAGTTCTAAATGTATTGTATTGACAAATTAATACTAGAGAATAATATAAGTAAGCAGAATTAAAATCAATCTTTTGATCTTTTAATATTGTGTTTTGTGGCTTTCTAATATTTGATTTCTCAGCTTTAATATTGAAACTGAGGTTTTCTGCATGGAATATATACTAGCTAGTATTTTGTTAGATATGACCCTCCTTTACTGTCTTGCTTGATGTTTAATAAACAGTCCACATTTGGAGCTGGGGTTAAAACTGTTCAGTTAATTGGCATTATTGGAATATTTGTGTATAGGGCAGTATGGCCCAGTGTAAAGTATAGCTTTCTTCCCAGAAAGTTTCATAACTTTGCTTATAACTCTAGTGCTGCAGCTCTCCAGTAGACTGTTCCATAAGTTTTGTCTGCATGCAGAATAGATACTAATGCAAATCCCTTCGATCCCATAGCTATTTTCAAGAGTACATGATAACCAATGTGGATAAAGGCACATAAAGCAGTTTCCTTCTTCTTTAGACCTCTTAAGCCATGAAGATGCAACCACGCTGAATGATGTGAAGACATTGGGTCAGCAGCTCAGCAGCTGTACATCTCTCTGTGCATTGAGGAACACCAACTGAACAAGGAAAAGGAGTTGATTGGGCGGCTAGAGGACCTCAAGGAGCAGCTAGCACCCCTGGAAAAGGTGAGATGGAAAATCTCTCATGGAAATATACTTATCCGCTGAGCACATTTACGTTCATGGTTATAGTGAAGACTTTCTTAAATGGTGGCATTCATTGTACATTGTTTTAATAGCTTTTAAAGCTTAAAGACTGGCTCATTCAATGAATGAAAAGCTGTGTGTATGTTCTTCACAGAAAGATAGTATTCGCTGCAGAGTTGAAAAAAAAATTAAGTATTTGACAGGACCTTAAAGTTGGTTGCTTCTCAAATTGGCCCCAGACCAAAACTCCACACTTACAAAAAGTGTTGTCATTTTTAAACCATTCTCTTTATTTCATTTTGGTAAGAGGATGAAAACAAGACAGACTAATAAATATTTTGAGTCATATTGGTTTCAAAGCAATATTTTGATAGAGTGAAAGTAAAAATAGATCACAAGTGGCTGTAACCATCTCCAGAGCAGTCAGTAGCATAAAACAAAATAATTAAAATGCATATTAAAAGAAAGAATGGAAGTGGTGCATCAAAGCACACACTACAGCACAAGTCTCAGAGGGGTAGCTGTGTTACTTTGTATCGGCAAATCAATGAGGAGTCCGTTGGTACCTTAAAGACCAACGTATTTATTTGGGCACAAATTTTCATGGGTAAAAATGACTGTCAGATACATCTGATGAAGTGATTTTTAGTCATGAAAGCTTACGCCCAAATATATCCCTTAGTCTTTAAGGCGCAACAGTACACCATAGCATAGTGATGACAATCTTATACATACATAGCCATCTATGTTTCTAATAAAAATATAAGTGATAATATAGCTTAGTCAAAGTGAATGTGAGATGTTGACCCAAAAGAGGCTAAAAGGTTTTTTTTGTTTGGTTTTTTTTGCTTCTTGAACTCTTTCTGCATAAACTATAAATCTCAATCAAGCACTATCAACACTAATCACTTCTGTAGAAAGTAGACCTTTATTTTTACCTGCTCTCAGAATGAGTGTGTCAACCCCCATCACCTATTGAGACTACAGACCTGTTTGTGTCCAGCAGGTCAGGATGGAAATCAGCAGAAAAGCAGAGAAGAGGACTACGTGGGTTCTGTGGGGTGGACTGGCCTACATGGCCACTCAGTTTGGGATTCTGGCTCGGCTCACCTGGTGGGAGTACTCTTGGGACATTATGGAGCCAGTCACCTACTTTATTACCTATGGGAGTGCTATGGCAATGTATGCTTACTTCGTAATGACACGTCAGGTAAGTCTTGCCCTCTGTTATCACCTTAATGACAGGCTTACCCTTTGGACGTCTTCATTTTCCCTTTCACACTTTCTTTATTCCTCTCCCCCATTACACTCTGCATTTTCCCCATTCCTTGCTGTTGACACGAACATGAAAATTACACTCATCTGTTACTGGATTTGCACCATCTACTCATATGTTTGCTATTAGTCTGCCATGATGAAACAGAATTATCAGTAAGTGTTCTCTCCATGTGAATAGCTTTGAATTACTTAGAATTAGATAAGACTGGAACCTTATTCCTGCAGATCATGGAGGATCCTTACTTCATAGAGCACAGCAGGAAAGCTGGAAAAATGTGTTGGATTAATTCTTCTCCTGGTTTTACTGCCAAATGCTTTTTTAAATTTGGGAACCAGGGTAATTTTTCATGTCTATGATCTGCCATGTATTTCAAGGACTAAAAGGAACAGCACTTTGAGGGGATGGATGAGAAGTACAGTAATGGTTGTAATGCCCATCCTAGATCCTGCTTTTCATTGTCACTGCTGCCTGTCTACACCCCCTTTCTCAGCAAGCAACCCCAAGGCTATAGCAAAGTCCATTCAGATTCTCCTGTTTGAAGAGCTGCAGTCCTTCTTCAAATCCTTGTCTCTATGTATTCCACTGTTAGTACACATGCACCCCGACAGCCAGTCAGCAGTGTCCATTAGGAACACACATGTGCTTTGAGAGCTCTTGTGCTCCTGTACAGAGGGTACTGATGGGATAGACCCAGCTGCCCGTTGGCTCCTTCTCAACAAGCTCCAAAATGGAGCTTTTCAGTGTTCTGCTCTTTAGTTGTCCCTTACTTTTCTGTAAATGTTTGTGTACTTATTAGAGTTCATTAGGGTTAGATCGTTTGGTAGTTTTATAGATTTCTTAATTTTATTTTTTCTTTTCTGGTCAGGGATTTGTACTGGCCACTACTAGAATGAGTAATGTCCTCTCTCTGTCTCCTGACTTTGCCCCACTTGCAAAGCAGCAATTCCAATAAATGACAGGTCCTCCTTTTTTGTTCAGGGGAAGCACACAGCTGATGTGGGTGATGTGCAAGTCCTTTTCTAAAAGGATCGTAAAAGCTAGGGAAGCACATCTGGAAGTGTTCCTTGCACTGTGCCATGCAGCCAGCCTTCACTCCAGACAGTGGAGGTCTTCTGGAAAAATTTCACTGCAGTCCATTAGTGCTCTGTGGCTTCCACATCCACTAGCTCCCATGCTTAGTTTTTGATGACCAGGTCAAGAACTGTTAAATCCAAGTTCATTTATGTTCAAAGGTTTATTGCCCTCTATCTAAAAATATCAAAGAAATGGTGCCTGTTAACACCTACACAGGCTAGGATTCTTAAGAGCAGTATTAGATTGACAAGATTGCATCTGCCTCCAGAGAGGTTTGACATCAGGTCTAGCCTCAGTCATTTTCAAGAGCGTCTTCATACCTCCCGAAGGACTTGTCAATCTCTGAAACATGTCTCCTTAACCTTTTTTGGTGAGCATGCCAGACAACATCTTGGTTGTATGCAGGGCTGATGGAAGTCAGTGTATGTGCAAAGCAAACATTATCGCTATGTCTTTATAGTCCCTCAGGATATTCTTATCACAATGAAGTGGTAGAAGTACTCGCCTGCACAATAGACTGGCGTTTTCTTCCTCATCTCTCCCATCAAGGATCTGAGTGGACATGGAACCATCAGGCAGAAGATCTGTGGGACTCTCACTCAGTTATAAATGTACAAATCTACTATATATTTGAGAGTCTGTCTGTTCAAGAACTTCTCCTAAATAAGAGCTAGGACCACCAAATTTGGAATGCAGCATCCTCTTATAGCTTAAAGCAAGGTCAGGATTTTGTTGTGCCAGGACAACAGGATGTGCCTGGAATGTGATTGTTTCTCATAAAACAGAAGAGGACGACTCTGGTAGCAGGGACAGTTATTTTGTATAATGACTACAGAGGGGCAGCAAGGGGCCAGAGGTAGGGCTTGGGACAGCTATAACCCCATTGGAGCAGCAGAGGATAGGGGTGAAGGGAGAGACGGCTATCTACTGAGAGAGTTTGTCTGTTTGCGTTTGTCTGTCTGTTTATCCCCCAGCCAGGGGATATGCACCCTCCCCTGACTATGCCTGCTGCAGTTGCAGCAGCCATGGACAGGCACTTCTTACCTGGCCCCAAGCTGCTGCGGTGACAGAGGACTGGGGTAGCCTGCATACTAAACCCCACAGACCCACCCCAGAACCATGATTTAAATGAAGAAAAACAAACATTATTTGAGTTAAGGGCCCAAGCGACGCTGAGTAAACCCTCTAGTAACTTGTAAATGTTAGCTCAGCAGTTCACAAACCTGTGCTACCACCTTCTCATTGTATCAAAGACTGTCCAAGAGATAAGACAGCATCTCAGACATGTTTTATATGAATGGAGAGGGAGTGGCATCCTCATCCCCACTGTGCCGGTAAGCAGTTTGAGTATGGAACTGGTGCACTAGTACTGGAGATGCCTGTCCCTGGTATCTCCCTCTGTTGTGCAGAATGCTCTTGTGGGCCGTTTCACAGGCCATACATGGATGACCAAAGATTCAGTTACACATCACATCACATTTTCAAGGAATGTGGCCATCTGTCATTACCAAGACAAGACGTAGGGGATCTATCCTGGGATACGAGGGAAAGTACTCCCATAGATCAGTAACTGGTTGAAAGACAGGAAACAAAGAGTAGGAATAAATCGTCAGCTTTCAGAATGGAAGAAGAAAAATTAATGGTGTTCCTCAGGGGTCAGTAGTGGGACCAGAGCTATCCAGCAGATCCATAAAATGATCAAAAAGGGCTAAGTAGTGAGGTGGCAGATTTCACAGATGATAACAAAACTACTCAATATAGTAAAGTCCAAAAGCAGATTTGTGAGATCCCTTTATAATGCTCCACAAAGTGGGTGACAAAATGGCAGGTGGAATTCAGTGCTGATACATGCAAAGTGTAATGCACATTGGAGGGAGGGGGAATCCCAACTGTACATTCAAAATAATGCCTAACTTAGCTATTACCACTGAGGAGAAAGATCTTGGGGTCAACGTCTATAGTTCTCTGAAAATATCCACCCAATGTGCAGCAGCAGTCTGTGACAAAGTGGGGGTACTTGCTGGGCTGTGGTGAACCCTGCTGTCTGGAGCAAGACCCAGCAGGGAAAGCCTCACTAGGCAGAGGTAAGACCAAACTTGTTGAACCAGTGGCCAGACACCCCCCATGGAGAGGAACAAAGGAAGGTGGAATGCTGCCCTGGCTTGGGGGGCAGGGCTGGAGGAGGCTGGGTTAGTTCCTCGCTGGAAGGCAGGGTATAAGGAGCTGGGGAGGGGGCTGGGACTCCCCTATCTCAAAGGGGGGGCACTGAGGCCTCTTAGCCCCAGTTCCTGTACCCAGATTACATCTGTGCTGCGCTGTGCTGGAGGAGCAATAAACCACCCTCAATTCCACTGGCTGGTGCAGTCTGTTTGTGCCATTTCGGGGTGCAGGAGACGGGGAACCCCCAACGCGCCGTCACACAGTCAAAAAAGCTAACAATGTTGGGAATCACCAAGAAAGGGATAGACAGAATATATTGTCTCTATACAAGTCCTTGGTATGCCTACCTCTTGAATACTGTGCGCAGATGTGATTACCCTATCTCAAGGAAAAAATGGAATGAGAAAAAAGGTTCAGAAAGGGGCAACAAAAATTATTAGGGGTATGGAACAATTTCCATGTGAGTAGAGGTTAAAAAGACTGGAATTATTCATTTTGGAAAAGATGATTTGCAAAGAAGAGGATATGACAGACATGTCTAAAATCATGATGGGTTTAGAGACAGTACATCAGGAAGTGTTATTTATTCACCACCATGGTGAAGCAGTGTGCTGCAGGCTGAAAGAGGATGGCAAGGCAAAGTGGAGCAGATCAGGCTTCTAGGGTCACTCCGGCTCCTGCCACCATGGTGAGTCGGGGTGGGGGGAGGGAGGAACTGCCACCTTGAGCCAGGCCCTCGAGTAATCCCTGAGCTCACATTGCTCCAGGGGTGGGGGAGGAAGGGGATTCAAGCCAGGAGGCAGAGTAGGGTGAGGTTACAGAGCAAGGAGTGGGCCTTCATGGAAGAGGTGGAGCAGAGTTGGGGCAGGGTCTGCAGCGGAGGAGTTGCCCCGGACACGGAGTGGGAGAGGGTGCCCATGATTCCGCACCCACCTAGAGATGGCCCTGCCAGGTACTAATATTTAACGAGCTTTGCTGCAAGCCATTCTAACTTTTGTGACCTCTTTGTGCAAAAGGAAGAAACTAGAAGTTGTTTGAAGTTGGGTTTTTTCTGTAAAACTTCTTACCTGAAACTTATGTGCTCGTTATCCATTTTATTCAGTGCTTCCAGTCTGGGTCTGTCCCTTTAGCTGCTATGGTTACTGGCACACACTGTCTTAAATACTGGTGTCAGCAGAGAGTTTCACCCTTCATCTTCCTCCCAAAAAGACTGACCAATAAAAAAGCTGAGCAAATGCTCTTGTGAGCTGATGTTTTCCTACTTACCAGAGCTTCAATTAGCCACTGCATATAACTGCTGCTAAGAAAAGGACTGAAAGTACAATATTGTGAGGTTTATTCCCAGTATTTCTAAAGAAGGCAGACCAATAATATTGTCAATGAAGTACTGTCCAGCTACAGTTGGATTCAAATATACAATCCTATCTAAATCATTTCATTTGGATTACCTCAACTTTGTCTGTGCACAGTGATGGGCTGCTCTCTACTCACTGCTAGATGTTCTGGAGATTAATTTGGTCAGGCCAATGTCCCTTACAGTGGCTACACCCTATCAGTTTCTCTTCTGTAGCCCTTCTCTGTGTCAGGAGCCACAGATGTCCTATTTGTGACTCAGCCCTTGGGACAGCTCACTAATGTGGTCCATGCACTCCCATTTCTGGAGGGAATATATCACGGTTTCTGCTCTCTGGCAGTCTCCTGCTTCACCGCCTCAGTGCTCCTCCTGCAGGGGAACCAGGGCCTACCCACTAACTTCTGACTTGGGGACCCTCTACACAGCAGCAAAGGGCCATTTCCTTCACCTTGCCGCCTTTCTCTGAGCTGCTTTCACACCTCCTGGCCACCCCCACTCCTCTAGGTCTGCCAGTCACTTCACTCCACCTCACAGGGGGCAACTCCAGGTAGCTTATTTCTGCAGCCTCCAAACACTTCTACCTAAGATGGAACTGCAGCTTTTCCCAGCCACTCTGTTGCTAGCAGACTCTGCCTTTTGTAGAAGCTCTGCCTCTCCCTCATAGATGAGCTTCTCTGTAACTGCAGCCTAAGTAGCTGGGTGGGCCCACCTGGGCCTAATTCAATGCTTGCAGGCCCATCATGGGTAGCACACTCCATCACATGCGCACATGCTTGCCAGCATCCTAAAAGAACCCCACAGTTTGATGGTTGGGTATACTTAACTCTTCCTTCTCAAAAGGGACATACATTTAGGGCTTAAGGGGGACTCTAGTGCAAGTCAGGATTGAGGTTCAGCTAAGTGTTGAAGTGAAAAGTGGCTGCTTGTATTTAGTAGGCAACTCTACACTTCAGTCACTAGTAACAATTCAGCCCCTTATTTCCAAGAGGCACATCTAATACATGCTAAGATAGCTGTGGTCTGTTGTTTGGAAGCTTTTTTCTTCTCTGCCTCTCACCATGCTTCCTCTCTCTCTTTCTCTCTCTAGGAGTATGTTTACCCAGATGCCAGAGATAGACAGTACTTATTATTTTTCCATAAAGGAGCCAAGAAGACACGTTTTGACCTAGAGAAATACAATCAACTTAAGGATGCAATCGCTCAGGTAATGCATAGTTTTGCCAAAGTAAAAACAAAAGAACTCCCCCTACTTGTGCTTTTTAACCATTACTGATGGATGCCCTTGAACCAAAAGTAGACTGATAGTCTGTCTTAATTTGGGTTGCTAGTCTTTCTTGTCACCGCTATCAAGGAACCATTAGATGGATTTAGCATTATGGTATGCACTGTGTGTAAGCAAACAGGTGCAACTGTTCATAGATGGAATATGAAAAAGGAGTTATGTATCTGTTGACAAACTATGCATCTTTTTAGCTGTTCTTGGAGCACTTCATGCCTCCGAGGGGGTGAGTCTCTGCTTCTGTCCACTGAGACACTGTGGATCTACTCAGGCAACGGTGGGCAAAATACGGCCCACAGGCTGAACCATGGGCACACAGAAACCCCACACTGTTTTAAGCTGCTGGCTTCCCTCTGTGGCGCTCTGCACCAGTGGGAGAGGAAGGCTTTGTGTGCTCCCTCCTCCCCAGCACTATCTCTGAGCACTTACTGCCCAGAAGCCAGCCAATAGGAGCTGAGAGATGGTGCTGGAAGCTGGATTAGCACATGAAGCCACTCCCTCCCCTGTGCCAGAGCAGAGCCGCAGGATGCAGCCAGTCGCTTTGAGCAGCATGGGACTGTAGCAAGCAGGGCACCTGCCTTGGGGTCCTGCCGGGCTGCTGGCCAGAAACTGCCTAGGTCAGTGCCTCTGAGCCAGAGCCTATCTCTGGCACCCCAGCCCTTCCCTCCCTCCAGCTCCCTGCCCCAGGCCAACACTCCCTCTTGTCCTAGGTCACTACCCAAACTCTCTATACCTCCCTTCCCCCAGATCACAGTTCCCTCCCAGATCCTGCACCCTCTCCTGCACTCCTTCCCCAGGCCAGAATCCTCTCCTGCACACATACCCCCTCCCTGACTGTGTACCCAGGGTCATCACCCAAACCCTCTGCCCCCTTCCCCCCCCTTCCCAAGGTCACAACTCCCTCCCAGTCCCTGCCCCCCCTTCTACACCCTTCCTCAGGCCAGAATCCTCACCTGCACCCCAATCCCCTGCCCCAGATCACAACTGCCTCCTTCACCCAAACTCTCTCTGACCTCACACCCTCTCCTGAGGCTCAGTCTCCTACCCCAAACTCCCTTCATCCCTGACCCCGCACTCTCTCCATAGAAAAGTGTGGCTCTTGACCTCTTCCCAAAATCTTGGAATGGCCCACCTCTGTACTAAGGTCTAAAGACTTTTATCCAGTCAGTTCACATCTCCCTGGATGTGTCTTAATCATCAAACGCCTTCTACAGTAGGCACCAGTTCTTTTCTGCTGATCTAGAAGTGGGGACACTTGTAGAGGTCGCTGGGAGGGTTACAGTGACTTTTGGTATGTGGTCTGCTTATAAGCGTTTGCTTTTCCTGCCACTCTGATGTAATTTCCTGAGTGCTGCAGGGTGACTATATCACTTGGTAAACCTGCAGGTCTGGGCAGTTCACCCTGTGGTTGTACTAGATGCTTTTTACAAGTTGTCCTGGGAGGAAACAGGGGACTTTTATTGCAGCTACTACTAATTTATATAGCTGCACTGGTGCACAGGGAGGATTTCTGTACAGAACTGTGGGGCACACCACTGGTCCCAAGGATGTTATAGGAGAAGTCAACAAAAATGACAATCCCTGAAGTGTCATTGTGCAATGGCCACACAATGGAAGTTCCTTGATTTTTGTTTTGTTTTTTAGACACTAGTTTGTCTCAATGACTTCTGGCTTCTGTTGAGCTAATTTTATAAAGGGAGAGAGACTTGTGAAGATGTTTAAGGAACTTGCTCTTTGTATTTTATCTTTACTTTTAGGCAGAATTGGATCTTAAAAGGCTTCGAGACCCACTGCAGATTCACTTGCCTGTCCAGCAAATCAATGATAAAGACTGATCAGCCAAGAATGTCTGTATCCCAGCAAAAAGAGAACCTGTTCATAGCTCTTGCCTTTTAATGAAAGCATTGCAGGTGGAAGCTGGGAGATAGCGTGGGGGTGGAGGGTTTTTACCTTTAATTTAAAATAGAAGAGGACCATGGGGGGGAAAAAATCTCTTAAATCTGAAGATTGGGCATTGTGGAATGTTAGCCTCCAAAGCAACATGGTAAATGCTGTCACATACAAGCCTTTGTATCTGGATGAAAATGATGTACAAATACAAAACTGGGGGGGTGTCATAATGAGAATGTAATGCTGGAGGGCTGTCTTCTTCCGGCTTTGCAGGGTCTGCCTCTCAATAATGCACCAGCAGCCTGCTGAGCTCTTTTAAATGTTCCTTTCTTGATTTTTGACACACACCAGTAACAAAATGCTGTCACATACAAGCCTTTGTATCTGGATGAAAATGATGTACAAATACAAAACTGGGGGGGTGTCATAATGAGAATGTAATGCTGGAGGGCTGTCTTCTTCCGGCTTTGCAGGGTCTGCCTCTCAATAATGCACCAGCAGCCTGCTGAGCTCTTTTAAATGTTCCTTTCTTGATTTTTGACACACACCAGTAACAAAACGCAAAAAACAAACAAGCCATCTGGAGCTATGGTCAGTGATCAGATGATGTTTCATCACCATTAACACATAGTCCTGATCAGACCTAGTGTCTTTTTTGTAAAGTTACTGCAAGACTGCTTTCTACTAAAAATCATGAATTTCCCCTGCCTGCCCCCATTTCCTTCACCCACTTCTTCCATTACCTGTTTATTACACTGAGTTTTATCCAAATCAAAAATGGAACTATCTTTGATCTAAATGTTCGATAATGGACACTTTGAATTATTCCTTACTGCCTTCAATTGTAGAGTGTCCCAGTGCCCTAGAACGACTTCTAGAAATGATGGCAACATTGCATGAGAGTTTTTAATACTCTGTCTTAAGGGAGGAAGGTTCCCCTCTTTCCCACCCCAAGTCTGGTAGCCACCTGGATGACTAAACCTTGGAGATTTCAAGGATTAGAAAGTTAACTCAGAATCATGACACTCTTATTTAACCAAGCAGTTTAAGAAAGAGAATAATTAAATTTGAAGTTTGACTGCTTCTGTAATGAGATAAATGGTCCCATTTGTAGTACACTACTATATCTGGAGGCTTTGTCGAAGGCCAAGGCTACTGGAGCAAAAGATACAGATTTTCACTTTGATTTTCTAGCCTGCTCCTTTTTTTAGCTGGCTTTCATTAAACTCTGTTGCTCAAGGGTCAGGATTTTTTAGGGGTGGCTAATTGCATAACCCATGGCTATTTAAAAAAAAAAAAAAGACATTGGGGATGGAGAACCAACACATTGTTCGCTTGCCTGAAGCTAGCTGCTTTCTAAACAGATACAATTATAACTGCATTCAAAACTGATCCTTCTCTCTAGCACCCTGTTGATAAATATTGGGGAGACAGGATGGAGGTAGGAATAAAGCTCCAGATATAATACACAAAAAAGGTGAGGGGTTCTCCTTACAGTTCACTTTTACTTCTCACTGTGTCTTGGCAAGAGGCTCCAGTTTCTGGAGAATCACATTTAAAAAAGGAACAAACAAAAAACAAACCAATATTAATGATGCCAGGTGCCTTGCAGGTGTGGAAAAACAGATGGGATTGATGCTGCCTCTCCTCACTCGGTGGCATGTTGGACTGAATGAATGCATGTTTCTAACTTTTTCTCCCCACATTTTTTCCTGGTTTCTTTTTGTTTTAATTACATTATGTGGGTTATATTTTTACCTGTTTTATCCTGTTCGCGTGCTGAGTTTTAAAGGGAAAGAAAATGAACACTGTCTTGAAGCTGAAGCCTTGTGTGTTTGGGGTGAGGGAGGGGCATGGAGAAAAATCCTTACTTCAGAAAAAAGCAAATACAGAACATGTGTAAAATCCTGTATCATTTATGAAATATGTAAAAAAGAGTAATGTCCTTCTGGAACAATAAATAACTATTCAATTTTTGAACTCAAGTGTTCTTATTACCCTTTATTTTCCCTAGTTGAGAGGGGAGCATCCCTCATACTGTAGCTGAACTCCTAATTTCCCCTATTTCTTTTCATTCAAATTGCATTTCTCTAACCTTATTTCACTTGAGGACATTTTGATGCTGGCAGCAGCCTTACTGTTCATACTGAAATGGAGCTGTCACCATCTTACGTCACACGTGAGATCTATCAGCTTGTGATAATGTTACCACCTTTGTTGTGAAAAGTATACATCTCTGTAAAGGTTGAGGAAATCGGGGGACATCTTGGCGAACTCCAGGATAACAATATCCATGATGCAGTTTATCTGAAATGCAGTAGTCTATGTCCTTTAGTTCCAGCTATCCCAGCATTTTTAATTTTAAGGCTCTACCTTGGATTTGGGTGAAGTTTCAAAGGTTTAAACTCTTTACTTTTAAAGCTGTGTCTGTTGCAGTTTTTTTTACACAAAATGTGCATGCTGTTCACGACTGTATTAAGATCATAATCAGCAGGTATTTAGGTTGTAAACTGAATAATCTCAACACACTGGGTCCCAAGAAGTGCTCTCCTGTTTGTGGAATACATTAGTTACGAGTAGTCACACACTCGGACCCTTTTACGATTTAAAACCAGGTTGAAAACATCTGTTTTACTGATCTCTAATTTGCTGTCAGATTTTATAAAGTTTAATTGTACCATCACAGCAACTTTTTTTCCCAATATTATATGGGTAGATTAGACCCTTCACTCTTCTAGTGACATCCATCTAGAACATGCTTTACATAAAGAATTGGACCGAAGTAACATCCAAAATATTCTTGACCCATTTCTGGTAGCCACTGAAAGTTAAACTCTCTAATCACAAGGCAAGGAAATACCATGAAGAAACTTTTTCCTACCTCCTTTATCTTTCCAGAAGAGGGTCAAAGTGAGGGAGAAAAGAGATGAGGTGAAGTTACTGATTCTACAATCTTACACTGGACTGGTTGTCTGTTCCAGTGTAAGTCTCAGTTCCCTGCAAGTTGTCCTTATTTGATTACTTCTCTCTGCCCATTAACCCCACCAAAGTACATATCTGATAACAGTACATCTACATTGTGTCCAAAGAATGCATTTGCTCTTCCGCTTTTTTTTGCGGAAGAGCAAACACGCTTTTTTGGGGTACCCTGTATGCCTCCTTCTGCTAGGGATAAGGGCTCCGCCAAAAGAGGAGGCTTTTCCACCATTTGGCCCCATCCAGACTGGGCCAAATGGTGGAAAAGCCTCTTTCAGAAAAGCGATCGGAAAAAGCTACACTAATTGCAGAGCGCAACTTGCGTAGCTTTTTTCAAAAAAAAGTAGTGTAGACCTAGCCTGAGTAACATATGGAGAAGGGTACCCTTATCTTGTTACAGTCTGAGAAGTGCTAAAAACTCAGAGCTCTTGCCACTTTTTTTAGTTACACTTTACTAACGTTTGGTGTAAATTTTCTGTCACTTTTCCTTTGCATCCCTGTGCAGCAGCACCAGCAATCTGGTTCCTACATATAATTTTTCTCTTGTGATTAAAAGCCAAACAGGTGGCAATGAAATGTTTACTTGTTACCAATTGAAACATAGACAATGTTGTCTAATGCAGCACTGCATGCACTAGCTTTAGTGTAATCTGTCACTGGCAAGGCAGAAGCATGTAGTTATATCACAAGTTCATTGATGGTTGTCTCCCAAGTTCAATTCTCATTTGCTGAGACAATAGGCTCTGTCTTATCACTTCCAACATATGTGCTAGTTCTTCTTAAAAGTGTGTTTTTTTTAGGAAGTGGAGGATAATACCCCTTCCCTAGACAAAGGAGATGTGGTACTGAAGTTCTGCCTTGCTCCATGTGACTCTAACATGGAAGTCTGTCCATCCAATGTTGCATCTAACCTTTCCTCTCTCTTTATAGGTAGCAATGATATGCTCCACAGACCACCTATTGGTCATCCATTTTAGAGCAAACAGTTCTCTCACTTCTCAAAGGGCACAGCTAGAATGCGGGGGGTTCGGGATACCAGAGGTATCCCGAAAAAACTCAGCCTCATCCAGGGAATGCGTTTGCTCTTCTGCTTTGCTCTTTTTTGCAGAAGAGCAAACATGCTCTTTCGGAAGCCCCTGTATTCCTCGTTCCACAATGAAAAAGGGGGCTTTCGAAAAAAGGTTTTTTTCCCAAAATTTGGCCTAGTCTAGTCCGTCAAAAGTAAAGGAAAAAGATATGCAAAATGTGGAGCACATTTTGCGTATCTTTTTTCCGATAGATCCTCGCAGTCTAGCCGTCCCCTAACATACAAAGTCCAGTATCTCTTTTGTAATGTACCAGAGTTGCTCTAGGCTTGCAAGAAATCCTGAAGTTATTGTTGATCCAGGATATCTTGTAACACACCCCATCAATTAAAGTAACTAGATTTCCTCTACGTGACAGAACAATTTGATCAGCCTATTTAACTCTTTATATACTAGCCAATTAACCTGTCATAAGACGGGATTTTCAGGTCTCCTGTGTGTGTGTGTGTGTGTGTGTGTGTGTGTGTGTGTCTCCTCCTACTGCCTCCGCCTCTCTCTCTCTCGGCTCTCCTCCGCCTCCTGCCTCTTTCTCTGTCTCTGTCTCTCTTTCTCTTCTCCTCCCCATCCTTCCTCTCACTCAGGGGACCGCGGAGCCCAAATAGCCATTTGGGCACCGCACTCCCCGTGCTGCATGAGGGGTGTGGAGCCCAAACAGCCGCTTGCTCCGCTTGCTCCCACACAGCGGCCTGGCTGAGCAGCGCAGAAGTCAGCCGAGCACCACGGTGGGAGGTAAAGGGGATTGGGGCAGTGACATTCATGGCCAGGGGGTGGGGCCTGGAGCCACTGTCATGCTGCATGTCACTGCTGCGCCCCCCTTCACTTCCTGCTGTGGCACTCGGCTGACTTCTGCGCCGCTCAGCCAGGCCCAGCAAGTGGCCGTTTGGGCCCCGCACTCCCCATGCAGCATGGGCTGCCCAGAGGGAACAGCCAGCATTTCAGCGTTACAGACTCTGACACTGGGCTACTATATATATGATTTGTTGGAGCTGAAAGTTAAGAATTCTATTCCTCATGTTGTATTTGTGGTTAGACTGTGTCCACCAGTGGCCTTAATATTAACTTTGCTCTCTAGAAAGCTAGAAACTTTTTTGAAAAAATAATAATAAGCATTTCCCATAATACAATGTTGCCACTGAATCCTGGAAACTCTAACCAGTTCACCCTAAATAATCATGCCTGCCTTCGCACTGACAGCCTTATTTTAGATCCTGAAGTGCAAAAAACCAGACCAGAGCATTCTTTGATGTATAGACGAAGGGTGACAAATTTTGATTTCTGAAACTAGAGCATTAGATGTAAGTACCAGTCTGCAGGCTGCATGACCCAAGGGACAGGATGCTGAAATAGGAGGTGAGTTCTATTCCCAGTTCTGCCAATGCCTATCTTTGTGATCTTGGGCAAGTTCAAGTCCTCTGTGTCTCTGTTTTCCCAACTGTAAATTGGGGCTAGTGCTTGTAAAGTGGTTTGATCTCTCTGGATGAATTTGTGCATGCTAATTAGTATAATTTCCAGTACAGTAGATTATTTGCCAAGTGGGATAGGGATCAGTCCCCCAACCATTCTAAACTCGAGCTGACTGCATTGCTTCCTCAACACTTAGGCTACGTCTATACTGTGCTGTTTTGCGCAATAAATATGCAAATGAGGTGAAGCGTGGAATATCGCCGTGCCTCATTTGCATAATTCATGAGTGGCTGCTTTTTGCATAAGAGGCTTTTGCGTAAGAGCCGTTCATCCGCATTTTTTTCAGGAAGAATGGCTCTTGTGCAAGAGGGGGGTTTTGTGCAAAAAGTGGCCGATCGTTAATTATGCAAATGAGGCACAGCGATATTCCACGCTTTGCCTCATTTGCATATTTCTTGCGCAAAACAGCGCAGTATAGACATCGCCTTAGTTTTTAATCTTAGTGACCTTTAAATTTAGAGTTTTTTTCACGTGTGGTTTGTGTCCTAATAGTGCCAAATAAAGGGCTGTAAAAATCTTGTGACTTCAGTCAAAGTGGAGCATGTGTGCTGACCTGAGACAGCTTGTTTACAGAAACAAAAACTTTCTAAGTAGAAGTCCTTGACCCTCTTACAATTAATCTTGGTACCTTGTCCAGGCTTATCTGGAGCACACATCCTCTAGTTCACTGCGGATGGGGATCTTACAGCAGGAGTCAGGCTTTAAATGGCTTCCCAGCATCAGGAAGTGCTGATTTGTGCTTTCTTCCACACTCTGCCAGTGAGGGGCTCTCAGGCCTGTTAGGATCAGATCTGCAGTGAAGGATTTCATTAGCTCAGACAGTCACCAGTGTAGCGAGGATGGGTCTGGCAAAGTTGCTTGAAGTCATCAATGGCAAATAGTGAAATGGTGCTAGGAATGAATACCCCTGTGTGAATAAGCTGCATGATCTTTTCCAATCTGACTAAATAGATGAGGTGGCTGAGTCTTTATAAGGCTAGTAAATCAAACCCATTGCACCTTGACTGGTGAGTACTGTCTGATACCTGCAAAACTGTGTAACTGGATCTACTTGAAATGGTCCAGCCGTTTCCTCTGCCCTGAACTGTTGTCATACTGGGGAGGAAATACCTCCCCACTGAACAGTATTCCTCTGCACTCACAATAGGACTGATGGTATTTATTCAGGCTTATCTTATGGAAGTACCTTCATAAGACTTCGCAGCTCATCACTATGGGATGGACGCCTAAACAAGCTCCAAATCCCCATTTCAATAAGGATATTGATGTGCCTTTTCCCTTCCTTTCCTCCCTGGAATTTCAGCCTGAATATACCAATAGGTCCAGGCAAGCCTAGTTTAGACTTACTCCTTCCCCAGAAGCAGAGGGGCCCCAGTTCTAACTCAGCCATGATTATGTTTGGTCCAAAGGTCAGGCTGCAAGGAAGAGGAAATGGGTGGCAGGTAGGAGCATACTGATGGAAGAGTTCTCTGCAGGAGCTGGCTTTCTCACAACTTGCATGAGCTCCTCATCGCTACTGCATATTCCAGAAGACATTCAAAGGTAGAATTGGAACACATGCAGCAGATTGTACCTTTACAGTTTTAAACTGAACCCTGGGAATATAGAAGAGAAGTAAGGTATAGTTCTGTCATCCCAAATTCTGGACTCTTCACTGTCTAGGGTTCCTAAAAGACTATTATAGGGCTATATATTTTAGTCCTCAGAGTTGAATGAATGTGAGTGAGATGCCATTGTTTTCTCTGTGCCAGTAGTCAGGTATCAGTCACTCACCTACAACCTCCACGATCAAAACTAATATATCCACAACAACAAAAGCTGTAGAAGGCAATGAATTGTACATGGATAAAAAAAATATATATGTACACATTTGTCACACAACCAAGAATTTCAATTCAAACTTGTCGGTTTTTATTTTCCCTTGAATGTAAGAATGTATCAGCTTCTGAATGAAAATGGCAAACTGTAATAGCAATGACTTACTGCAATATTCTCCCTTCTGTTTTAGTTACTCTCCTGGGAATGAAAATGATTATCACCAGCCAGGGAAGTTTCCTGGCTTTGGATGGTGAATTTTAGTTTTCTTTTGCCTTCTGTTGCAAAATGCTATGCATTCTCTCTCAGCCACTACTATAACCAGCACTAGAAATTTTGCCTTTTTATGACTGTGGAGAGGGGCAGTGCCAGGTGTTAAAATAGTGACTTTCATCCCAACAAATCTCAAAAGCATTTATGAACTATATCCGTATGGAAGTTAGTTAACCCTTGAAATACAAGTACTGCTGAGGTAGAGGGGAGCAGCCAGGGAAGCAATATACAATAATGCACCATAGGCAAGAACAATTTTTATCCAACTAGAAAAGGAAAAAGGGTTTATATATATCTCATGCCTGGGGTCTTGAATACCTATGCAGAGCAGAGACACACTCACTGCCAATATTCACTTGAAATCTGCTTTCTCCCTCCCTTTCCCCCTATCTGTAAACTCTGAGTTCAAATTATGTATGGCAAAAGGATTGATGGGCTTAGTCCACCCTGCTGGAATTTGAACCTATAGTTTCAAGGTGCCAAATTCCTCCTTGCACCAATACAGAGCTGGGGCTGGGGAAAACTGTACCTTTAAGAGGCTCAGGCTGGAGCCAGTTAGGGCTGGTTAGGACATAATGTGGGGAGCTCCTGTGACACAGGGCTGGCCAGTTGGAAGTGGGGAGAACTGTGCCAGAATCTCTGGTTCTGAGCATGACCGGGGCACTGGCACCCCTTAGCTGCTGCTGCAAAGCATGTGGCACAAAGGGCCCACAGGTGTTTAAAATGGGCTACTTAGTCTGTTAATCCACTGCCCTCCCCCACCCCGAGCCATAGCTGGGAAAGGAATCGGAGATGGGTCACCTCTACTCGTCAAGTTGTCAGCTCCTCAGGGGACCGCAGCTGTGCAGGTGGGTTTATTATGGCACAGAGCTGACTTCTGGGTGGTAGGCTGGAGGCTAGCACCTTTGTTTCTCAAGCTATAGACCCCATGGTTGTGACTTTCATAGATGCCAACTTGGCTTCAGCTACTGACTCCCGGGTTAAAAAGACACATTGAAAAATAAAATTATTTTTGCTGACGTACATTCAGTCAAAAAAGAGGGTAGATGGCAAGTGTGTCCACTAATGACTTGTAGATAGTGTCTTCAGGTAGTAAAGCGGCCTTCAGAGAGTTAACTGGATTCCCTCCCTTTTCCTGTTTCCCCCACTCTCTTTGCTGTGTAGTTGAATGAAGCAGCATGTTCCCAGCCTACAAGACAGTAAGTAGCATGTTTCTTGTGGGCTGAGCAGAATGTACAAAACTTGTGACAGATGGACAGGATATTTGCCCTCTAGTGAAAGGTGTTCCCTGTGGGACAGGTCTCTCTGTTTTGACTGATGTTCCCATCACCGCAGTGCCTCATCCAGTCCTGGATAGTTTCTGAGAGCGAGGGTTAGTTTTCACCACTTCCTCAGTTAAAACTTTCTAGTTGTCTGTGACTGATTTGCAGGGAGCATAATGAGCACCATGAAGTCATCTGACTTGTGGAAGGAGCCGAGATAACAGCTACCACCAACAGCTGCCTGTTCCTTCTAGCCTTCCAGGATGTCCACTCCATTAGAATTCCTCTTCAGATAAGATACTAGAAGTGTCACTGCCAGAAAACAATAAGGGATGAGTTTAAAAACAAGATCGGTCAGTAAAGGGCAGCGCTGCTGTGTGCAGGTCAAGGCTGAAGTTGTGCCCAGCATCCCTTCAGCCTCTTCCTCTGATAAACCTTCCAGAAGTGCTAGCACCATCACACTTCCCAGACTGTGGGGTCAAAACACACAAGCCATTAGGAGAAGCAGTCAGAGGGAAGGACGCTGAGGCCAGTCAAAGTGGAAGCCGGCAGTCACAGGGAGATTTTTGTTCAGGTGCAACTTTTCCCTCAGTTGAGTGGGATGTTCCAGTACTTGTTTTTCTCCTTCTGTATCTATGTCAAGTTACAGCCAGTATCTTCAGTGGGTGAGTAACTTCAAGAGGCACTTCTTTGAGGAGTATCTGTGTGCATGGTATTTTTGGCTGTAGGCTGGGAGGCCTTGTGCTCCTTTTGGTTAAAAGAATGGTAGATCCAGAAATCTGTATTAGAAATACCCCGAGGGCATTTTATGATCACCTGTTCTACACAGTCTCCTATTCGAGTGTTTGGACTCGGTCTAAGCAGGCACCATATCCACTTCTTTAATTTTTCCCCAGCTTTTAACTATAATGTTCATTAATGATAGAGACAGATGCTTTCTCTTGACTAAGGGGCCAGTATGCTATGTTCTAGCAATACACCTCAGTTCAGAGAACTACAGTATCCTGTTGTTCCTTTACTTTTTTTTATTTCAGAGCAGAAATTGTCACTTAGACACATACAGGATTGACCTTTCTCCAAAATGTCAGACTTCAGTGTTCCCTGTAAGCTGTACACTTATGTGGCCACTCAGGAGAGATTTCAGATGTTGCCCAGGTGGTTAGCAAAGTGTTTATCCTTAGGCTTTGGGTTTCTCCTGGTGGTGCACATTTGCATATGCCTCAGTGCACACAAAAAATGTATTCCAAACATGGATGGAAAAGATTTGAGAGAACGTTGCTCTTGAATGCTTATTAGATCACGAACTATGTAGTGTGTGTGTGTGCGCGTGTGTGTGTGCACACAAACAAAAATTGTTAAATTGTTAGTATTGTTAAGGATGTAAATTGAAATGCTTTTCACTTGCTGCGTGTCCTAAAGAACTAGCATTTAGAGCTGTGTCTGCTGAGGCAGTAGCTGCAGGGTCTGGCAGCTGGGTTTGTCTGGAAATGGCTGCTCAGTGTTCTAAGGGCTAAGGAATATCTTAGTCATTATTGTCCTCTCCTGCCTGGAACTGCCCATAGTCGGGGGTGGAGGTGGGGTTTCACTTGAGTGCTTCCTCAATCTGGATTTCTCCCTTTTCTCCCCACACAGTTCCATTTTCTAAGTTACCTTTAAAACCCTTGTTATCTGTTTAGCTAATGACAAGTTCTCTCTGGCAATTGTTTTCTTATCCATCTCTGAAGGATACTATACAGAAGCTAATTGCATGTATATCTCCTCAGTGCTGCTAAGTTGGGAATTGGACAGGGAAATCCTCATTTTGCCACCTTTTTTGTTGCTAACACCAAGCTTTTAATCTTGGACAGCAACCCACCATAACTCAAAATTAAACAAATCATTGACACTAAGGCATTAAGGAGAAAAGCCAGCGAGGTAAGTGTGAAAGAGGCTTTTTTTCATTGTATCCAGGAATAGCTTAATAAGGGTATCCAAAGAGGTCATGCCTGCCTGGGCTGCAGTCAAGGGATGGCAAGCCCATAGAAAATGTTTAATTTGTGTCAGGGAGATGCCAGGGCTGGGCTCTGCCATCTCAGCCTTGGCATGTCATAGTCATGGCACCTCTGGACTTGCTGCATCTATATGAATTTTTTTTTAAAAAATTCCTTGAATCCTGACACCTAATTGCCTGAGCTGCAGCACCTCTCATTACAAAGCACTGTCTAGTGGTTCTTCTATTAAATGGGTTCATCCACTGGTAAGAACAGAAAGGACTGGGACATCTTCAGTAGGTGGGGGTCCAAGTTTGTCCTTGATTGGGAGGTAAAATAATCTCTTTTGGGAATACTGGCTTTAAAAGAGTGTCATTCTCTGAGAAGAAAGAGGATGCAGAAAGTGAAATGGACATGTAGCAAATTTTCTGTTAAATTTGTTCTTCCACTCATCACTTAAAAACATTAGTACCAAAACTTATTTAAATGTTTTCCTCCACAATCCAAACCGGGTCCCCTACAACTCTCTCACAGCTTTTTAGCTTTCTAATGGCCCCTGTAGCTGCTTTTTTCTGTTATACTGAAGTCAAAGCCAAATGAGACAGATCTGTGGTTGTAGAGGGCATAAGAATATTCAAAATACAGGACTATGTAGCACTTTAAAGACTAACAAGATGGTTTATTACATGATGAGCTTTCGTGGGCCAGACCCACTTCCTTTGATCTGAGGAAGTGGGTCTGGCCCATGAAAGCTCATCATCTAATAAACCATCTTGTTAGTCTTTAAAGTGCTACATAGTCCTGTATTTTGTTTCAGCTACACCAGACTAACACGGGTACATTTCTATCACTAAGAATATTCAGTGAGAGATAAGAGGAAGGTGTATTAGAGGAAGGTGCAAGATAGCATTTCAGTAAAGGAATCGGGTATTTACAGAGTATATAGTTAAACTAGACAATCTTTAAGTAATTTCTCAAAGCAATTACCATTCCCATTTCAGAGCAAGTGAAGCAATAATATTTACTGTACAGAGACAACATCTGTGTCCAGAACATTTTATTAAAAATAGTAGTGAATTTTGAATGGCATCTTTCATATTAACTGCATCACACCAGTCTTTAGAATGAAGTTGTTTAATAAATAACAGAGAGAAAGTACAAACTATATGGAAGAAATATATTAAAGCGAGAGAGAGAGGGAGGGAGTGTATTCCACTTGGCTGGGATGTGCTTAATTAGAATGACTGGCTTTATTAGTCTAATGCTACTGAAGGTAATGAATTCTCCTTAGTCAGGACAATATTAGCATATATTCCACTTAATGGGAACTAATCTAGTCATGGTTTAGCAGTGCTTAACCAGGTGTTAATATATGGTGACAATCTAAGTCCCAGTATATTAGTATAGAAACAGACTAAATACAGGAAAGATGAAAATACACTGAATTTTTTTGTTCCCGTATTTTCACTGGCACAATTCTTCCATTATTAGTTATTTGAAGTATGTTCTAAAAGGTCTTTTAACAGGGGTGTTCATAATACATTCTTTTATATACAGGCTTGTGGATGTGAGGGTGGAGGAGTTTGGGTTAGGGTGGATGAGGGGCTCAGGGCAGGGAGGTTGGGAGTATGATGGGTTCAGGACACAGATTTCCTGTGTGTGGATGATGCAGGAGTGTTGTGGCAGAAGACTGAGGAAGTGGGGATGCAGGAGTTTGGGGCTGAGAGAGGCTCAGGACAGGGGGTTCCAGTGTATTATAGGATCAGATTTGGGCTTTGGGGTGTGTATGCAGGAGTGGTGTTATGCTGCAGCCAGATGGGGGCTTGTTGGCCAGGCTTCATTTATAAATAAAATATTAGGTCAAACACAAAAGGTTTCAGCATTGTCTTTATTTCTGAGAGGGGCGGGGAACCTGTTTTGAGTCAGGGTCACTGACTCACAGAAAAGTCAGTTGGGACCACGCAAGCGAGGTGCAAAAAAACAACCCCTCGAAAAAAAACAAGCCTCACTAATGTGGCCCCAACTGTGCTGGTGGGGACAGGGAGCTGGGGCAGGGTGCTGGTGGAGGCAGGGGACAGGGTATTGGTGGGATGTGGCCCCAACTGTGCTGGTGGGGACAGGGAGCTGGGGCAGGGTGCTGGTGGAGGCAGGGGACAGGGTATTGGTGGGTGGCAGGGTGCTGGTGGGTAGCAGGGGACAGGGTGTTGGTGGGCAAGGGGCACTGTGCTGGTGGGTGCTGGGGCAGGGAGAAGGGTGCTGGCGGGGGCTGGAGCAGAGTACTCATAGTGGGTCTAGCCAGGTGGAGGAGACAGGAACAGCTGGGGTGAGTACCTGGGGATCCTGCAGCTGTGCACCAGGTCTGGGCCTCAGGAATCATGTGTGCTGTTCCCGCCTCCCCCAAACAGCCAGTATGTTTCTTGAGCAGCGGGGTCTGTCACACACCGGTGACTTCCTTACCCCTGCTGCCTTCCTGAGTGAGGGGGGATGAGAAGTAGGAGTCCTGTGACTGCGCCTGCTCCACTTTCTCAGGAGGCGCACGCACCCTGCTCCTTCAGTCCCCATGGCAGCGTGAGCTTCCTGAGCAGTTGGAGCTGGCACGGTCCTGGGGTCTCCTACTCCCTGGAAGGCAGCAGGGGGAAGGAAGTTGCTGGCGTGTGACAGACCCGACTGTTCAGGAAACGTTCCGGATGTTTGGGGGAGGAGAGGAGCAGGCTGCACACTTCCTGAAATCCCAGACATGGTGCGCAGCTGCGGAACCTTCCCCTCCCCCCCATCCCACAGGAAGCCAGTGCTACCTCCATTGTAGCTGGAGATAGCGTCAGTGGGGGCTTCTTCTTGGGGGTGGGGGGAATGGGAGAGGGTCCCAAACACCTAGTGATCTACTGGTCGAGCCTTTCCCTCCCCTGCAATTGACCAGTCATTCGCGAATGATGGTTTGGTGACCACGGGTTTACAATAATATTAGATTCTAATGATTCTTGTGTAGGTTCTTGGCCAGATCCATAGCCAAGATAACAAGCAGGTATTTTCCATTTGTAGAACTGTGACATTAATATGTTCACCACCTATCTATTGCTTGAATTCTAACTGCTACTACAAGCAATGATTTCTAACTTCTCTCTGTAGAAAATTGGTGATTGACAAAAGTGAACTGTCACGTTGATGAATGCTTTTCATGAATCTTACGAATGCTTCAAAATCCACTTGCAGCCCGATTCTCCTCCTGAAGTCTGAGGGAGAATTAGCATCCACTCCAATCGGTCTGACACTTGTGCACCCTCTAGCAAATGGATGAAAGCCAAAGAACTGATGCTATGCAACACATTTCAATTATGCTTAAATAATGAATTCATGGGGTGTCTGGTCCATTCAAATCAGGGATAGGCAATAATTTTTGATGGGGGGGCACTCCAAGATTTTGGTAAGTGGTCAAAGGCTGCACTTTTCTATGGAGGGGCTGCGGGATCTGGGACAGAGGTTGGGTGCAGAAGGGAGCTCAGGGTAGGGAATTGGGGGGCTGGAGAAGGTCTGAGGGAGTTTTGGAGAAGGAAATTGTTGTGACCTGGAGCAGAGGATTGGAGTGCAGGGCCCAGGAGGGAGTATGAGTACACGGGAGGATTCTGGCTTGAGGGAGGGCTGTAAGGAGGGGGTGAAGGGTGAGGAAGAGGGTGGGGTGCCAGAGGCAAGCTCTGGTTAGGAGGTGCTTACCTATGCAGCTCCTGGCCAGCAGCACTCTCAAGCAAGTTTCCCTGCATGCCAGCATCCCCTGGCTGGCTGTTTCTCATGTCTCTGTACTGCAGGAGCAGGAAACCAGCCAATGGGAGCTGAGAAATTGTGCTGCACTGCCTCCCCTCCGCAGCAAAATCTCCCAGCTCTGAAAGATTTTGTGGGGGGCAGGGGCAGCATGTGAAGCCTTCCTCCCTGTCCCCGCTCCCCACAGCACAGAGCGCCTTCTGCACCTAACCTCTGTCCAAGACCCTGCACTCCCTCCATAAAAAAGTGCATCCATTGACCACTTATCAAAATCTTGAAGTGGCCCCCATAAAAAATTATTGTCCACCCTTGCATTAAATAGTGGTTATTCTGTGAGTCATTCTTACTGTCACAGTGTTTTAAGTGCTCAAATGCTTCTTTTCACTGTTTGTTTTTAAAGGAATTAAACTAAGTTGAACTTTCAGAATACTTCATTCCTCTGTGCTTCTAATAAACAGGACAATCAATTTACTAGCCTCATTGTGCCTTCTTTGGGATTGCTGTCCATTGAGAAGATTCTGCTAAACCAGGAATGGAAAATATAATTGAAATTATTTTCTTGTTTCTGCAGTTACCAGTCATTAAACATGGGTTGATTATCACTGGATTCTCCCTTTTCTCTCTTATCATATGACTCAGCCCTGGACCCTTGCTCTGCCTATATCAGCCTGAATGAGCCTTGGCGGAACACTGATCACCAGATAAATGGTTCCCATGGCCAGCCTACATGTGATAGCCACATTGATGGGGAGTGGTACCGCTTCACTGGCATGGCTGGCGATGCCATGCCTACCTTTTGCATCCCAGAGAACCACTGTGGAACCCATGCCCCCATCTGGCTAAATGGCAGCCACCCGAGGGAGTCAGAAGGCATTGTCCAAAGGCAAGCTTGTGCCAGCTTCAATGGGAACTGCTGTCTTTGGAACACCACGATTGACGTTAAGGCATGCCCAGGCGGGTATTATGTCTACCGCTTAACCAAGCCTAGTGTCTGCTTCCACGTGTACTGTGGGCGTAAGTAACCATGAGAGGCATTCTTTCCTTTCGCAATCTATTAATTCCTTTCTGCGATTCTCTGAGTGACAACTGTGGGAAGGGGCAGGGTCCTCTCTCTGGTAGTTAGTTCGTAACTCCCACCCTTTGCCTTGGAGTGGAGAATCCTCCTACCAATGTCGGAGAGGCATGAATGCACCCAGAAATCACTCTTCATGCCTGTATCAGCAAGCAAGCAGTCCATGTGCTCTTCCAACATTGGCTCCTTAGTCACAGCTCCACAGTGCAATGCCAGCCCCCTAGTGGCTGCGCAAGACAGGCTGCTCCTTGGGTTCTTCCTCACAGTGGCCCCTTCTGACCTCAGAATTTGTGAATGGCATTTCCATCCTCCAGCAGGAGAGCTGGAAGCAGAAAGCAGGGGTAGGGTTTCCTGTCAGCTCTCAAGTAAAGGAAGTTCTGGCACCACCTTTTGCACTATTGATATGTGAAGTGGAGACTCCACAAATGACAATGCTGCAAAATGAAAAGGAGAATGGGGGGATTTCCCTGGTGCCTAGGAATTACATAACCTAAATGTCTCTACAAAAGAAGTTTGCACCAATTTAAGCTCAATTCAGAATTGGTTTAATTAGACCAGTGCTGCTTTTCTAACCTAAGCCAGGCTTGTATTTTACAAACTTAGCTGAAGGCATGAAACTCATGGCAGTGATGGTAGAATTATTTGGCTAGATACTCAGTACTCTAGATGAACAGTGCTCTTGTTCTTCTGTAGATTTCTATGATATCTGTGATGTGGTGGATTGCCAAGGGTCCTGCTTGGATACTGGAGACTGCATGTGTTCTTTGGGGACGACGCTGGGACCTGATGGACAGACCTGTCTTGGTAAGGGAAGCAACACAGGGGTATAGGAAGTGTGAGGAGACACCAGCTGGAGAAAAAGGGACCAAACAAGTTCTTGATATTTCCTTTCTGTTTCTTTAGTTCAGTGGTCCCCAACCTTTTGGGGCTGCTGGGCGCCTAGGGGCGGGGGCCGCCCATGCACCGTGCGCCTGGGACACAAGAATGGCTCGGGCCGGCCCTGGTCACTAGGTGGGCTCACATAAATGTGTTTGGAGAAGGAAATTGTTGTGACCTGGAGCAGAGGATTGGAGTGCAGGGCCCAGGAGGGAGTATGGGTGCACGGGAGGATTCTGGCTTGAGGGAGGGCTGTAAGGAGGGGGTGAAGGGTGAGGAAGAGGGTGGGGTGCCAGAGGCAAGCTCTGGTTAGGAGGTGCTTACCTATGCAGCTCCTGGCCAGCAGCACTCTCAAGCAAGTTTCCCTGCATGCCAGCGTCCCCTGGCTGGCTGTTTCTCATGTCTCTGTACTGCAGGAGCAGGAAACCAGCCAATGGGAGCTGAGAAATTGTGCTGCACTGCCTCCCCTCCGCAGCAAAATCTCCCAGCTCTGAAAGATTTTGTGGGGGGCAGGGGCAGCATGTGAAGCCTTCCTCCCTGTCCCCGCTCCCCACAGCACAGAGCGCCTTCTGCACCTAACCTCTGTCCAAGACCCTGCACTCCCTCCATAAAAAAGTGCATCCATTGACCACTTATCAAAATCTTGAAGTGGCCCCCATAAAAAATTATTGTCCACCCTTGCATTAAATAGTGGTTATTCTGTGAGTCATTCTTACTGTCACAGTGTTTTAAGTGCTCAAATGCTTCTTTTCACTGTTTGTTTTTAAAGGAATTAAACTAAGTTGAACTTTCAGAATACTTCATTCCTCTGTGCTTCTAATAAACAGGACAATCAATTTACTAGCCTCATTGTGCCTTCTTTGGGATTGCTGTCCATTGAGAAGATTCTGCTAAACCAGGAATGGAAAATATAATTGAAATTATTTTCTTGTTTCTGCAGTTACCAGTCATTAAACATGGGTTGATTATCACTGGATTCTCCCTTTTCTCTCTTATCATATGACTCAGCCCTGGACCCTTGCTCTGCCTATATCAGCCTGAATGAGCCTTGGCGGAACACTGATCACCAGATAAATGGTTCCCATGGCCAGCCTACATGTGATAGCCACATTGATGGGGAGTGGTACCGCTTCACTGGCATGGCTGGCGATGCCATGCCTACCTTTTGCATCCCAGAGAACCACTGTGGAACCCATGCCCCCATCTGGCTAAATGGCAGCCACCCGAGGGAGTCAGAAGGCATTGTCCAAAGGCAAGCTTGTGCCAGCTTCAATGGGAACTGCTGTCTTTGGAACACCACGATTGACGTTAAGGCATGCCCAGGCGGGTATTATGTCTACCGCTTAACCAAGCCTAGTGTCTGCTTCCACGTGTACTGTGGGCGTAAGTAACCATGAGAGGCATTCTTTCCTTTCGCAATCTATTAATTCCTTTCTGCGATTCTCTGAGTGACAACTGTGGGAAGGGGCAGGGTCCTCTCTCTGGTAGTTAGTTCGTAACTCCCACCCTTTGCCTTGGAGTGGAGAATCCTCCTACCAATGTCGGAGAGGCATGAATGCACCCAGAAATCACTCTTCATGCCTGTATCAGCAAGCAAGCAGTCCATGTGCTCTTCCAACATTGGCTCCTTAGTCACAGCTCCACAGTGCAATGCCAGCCCCCTAGTGGCTGCGCAAGACAGGCTGCTCCTTGGGTTCTTCCTCACAGTGGCCCCTTCTGACCTCAGAATTTGTGAATGGCATTTCCATCCTCCAGCAGGAGAGCTGGAAGCAGAAAGCAGGGGTAGGGTTTCCTGTCAGCTCTCAAGTAAAGGAAGTTCTGGCACCACCTTTTGCACTATTGATATGTGAAGTGGAGACTCCACAAATGACAATGCTGCAAAATGAAAAGGAGAATGGGGGGATTTCCCTGGTGCCTAGGAATTACATAACCTAAATGTCTCTACAAAAGAAGTTTGCACCAATTTAAGCTCAATTCAGAATTGGTTTAATTAGACCAGTGCTGCTTTTCTAACCTAAGCCAGGCTTGTATTTTACAAACTTAGCTGAAGGCATGAAACTCATGGCAGTGATGGTAGAATTATTTGGCTAGATACTCAGTACTCTAGATGAACAGTGCTCTTGTTCTTCTGTAGATTTCTATGATATCTGTGATGTGGTGGATTGCCAAGGGTCCTGCTTGGATACTGGAGACTGCATGTGTTCTTTGGGGACGACGCTGGGACCTGATGGACAGACCTGTCTTGGTAAGGGAAGCAACACAGGGGTATAGGAAGTGTGAGGAGACACCAGCTGGAGAAAAAGGGACCAAACAAGTTCTTGATATTTCCTTTCTGTTTCTTTAGTTCAGTGGTCCCCAACCTTTTGGGGCTGCTGGGCGCCTAGGGGCGGGGGCCGCACATGCACCGTGCGCCTGGGACACAAGAATGGCTCGGGCCGGCCCTGGTCACTAGGTGGGCTCACATAAATGTGGGCACCACACTGGGGACCACTGCCTTAGTTATTCATCTCCCAGCTAATTGTTTAAAAGAGTGGAGACCCAGATATGTTTGGGACTAATTTTACCTCTTGTTGTCTATAATGAGTCCACATTACTTGCAGGTCAGTTATCTCACCTTTGTAGTTTTCCACCATTGTATCAGCACCTGTCTGACCATTAATTAGCCTGCTGTTCCTGAGGCCATGTAGTTACTGAGGCTGAATTGGTGTTCTTTTTGAGTCAGCATTTGGTTTAAAGAAGAGCCAGTCAGAGAGCAGAACTTTTGCTGTCAGTGATGATCATATGTTTTGAAAGGTCACTGTGGAGTCCCATTCATAATCAACAATAGGCTCCTTGTCTGTCATGAGAGTTTTTACTGTCATGGCTCTGTGGGATTCCTCACTCCTCCAAGCAGTTGCATTCACTGTCACAGTGCTACCTACTGAGATTGGTGATGCCGACAGTCTTACTGTCCTTGCAGGGCCCTGTCCAGGGCTTGGGACTCGGTATCTTCAAATCACTTGTCAGATTTTTAGATTTCTGTCTGTGCAAATGTATCCCGGAGGCAGAGTGACTATGCTTGATAATCTGTGACGAATAGCTAAGAGTTCCCAGATTTTGATGGCAAAGGGCTGGTGCTTTCCCAGTGGAAGGCCCTCCGCCCGAGAACTTTCTTCCTCTTTTGGCCCACCACAACCTGAGTCTGTTACAGGGCTCGTGCTGAGACTCGTGCTCCCAGATTTTTCATTAAGATCTTATTATAGTGGAGAAGGGATTAGATATGATGGATGGGAAAGTTCAATGGTGAATGAGCCTTTTCCAATATTATCATTAGTCTGCAAAATATGTATGGATTTTTCTTTTTAATATGTCTTGTGTCCATAGACTATGTGGTGCGTGCTTTCATAATTTAAAATGTAAATCCGCGATAAATACCTGGTGGTTAAAGATTGATCGCGTAGTTTGTGCTTTCTTCTGACCTTCATTCTGTCAGGCAGAGGAGTTATTCTTTTCCACTGAATTTAGAGCTGAAGAAAGGTGCTGGACTGACAGCCCTGTAGACTGATTCCCTTTATATATACACAGCACAGATTTTCTGACCTGGCCTTGCCAATGTGCTTTCAGTCTTGAGCTGTGGGAAACAGCTCTACAGAGGAGAGGACTACTGGTTTTTTGCTCACACTGTTAACTGGGTTTTGCATTGTAAATCTTTGCTCCCTACTGGACTGAGGCCATCTGGTTCAGTTACTGGACAGTCAGACGATAGTAATGACTTTGCCCCAGTTTAAGTTTTCCAATGACCTCAATGTGAAAGTCTACGTACGCCACTACGAATCCCATGAGCCATAGTTATCTCTACCATGAACCGCAAATGATGCCTCAAATGTGCAATAAGCATCTGGAAGCAAATATTTTAAGACCCCCTTGTCAGAGGTTTATTCCGAGGACTAAAAACAAAAGGAAAAATGCATCAAATTAATGGAGTATCTGCGCAATTTGATTCCATGCACAGTTTTTGCTAAGGGTCTTAGTAGGTCTGTCCCTGCTACAGGATTGACTCTGCTGCCTTTACTTCCTCCATTGTTTTCATTTTTCCATGTAATTAAAAACATTAATTGGACCAGCTCATGCATGTCGTGTGTGCAGAATTCTCATTGACTTAACTGAGCACTCACAATGCTCTGGGTTTGCAGGATTGGGCCTATTCACTGATGAGTTTGCCATGGAAACAGAGAAAAGGTTCTCTGCCCTCTGTATATCCCTGTCAAGGCTGATTCCCCACCCTGGCACAATGAATGCAGAAGTGGGGGTCCGCAAAAGTACCCCAAAACCTTATTTTCCAGGCTTTGGTAAAAATCCCCCCCCCCATCCTAAAAACCTAGATTTTGGTGATAAAAATCCATGGCCACCACCCAAGTAATGGTAAGAAAACCAGGGAAAGTAAAGTAAAACTAGGACACAAAAATTAACCAATACCAGGTTAATAAAAAACTTTTATTAACACCACAACACTCCTGTTACAAGCATAGTTACAAGCATGGGAAGCGACTGTCTAGGAAGGAGTACGGCAGAAAGGGATCTAGGGGTTATAGTGGACCACAAGCTGAATATGAGTCAGCAGTGGGATGCTGTTGCAAAAAAAGCAGACATGATTCCGTGATGCATTAACAGGTGTGTTGTGAGCAAGACACGAGAAGTCATTCTTCCACTCTACTCTGCACTGATTAGGCCTCAATTGCAGTATTGTGTCCAGTTCTGGGCACCACATTTCAAGAAAGATGTGGAGAAATTGGAGAGGGTCCAGAGAAGAGCAACAAAAATGATTAAAGGTCTAGAGAACATGACCTGTGAAAGAAGGCTGAAATAACTGGGTTTGTTTAGTTTAGAAAAGAGAAGATTGAGGGGGAACATGATAGCAGTTTTCAGGTATCTAAAAGGGTGTCATAAGGAGGTGGGAGAAAACTTGTTGTTTTTGGCCTCTGAGGATAGAACAAGAAGCAATGGGCTTAAACTGCAGCAAGGGAGGTTTAGGTTGGACATTAGGAAAAAGTTCCTAACTGTCAGGGTAGTTAAACACTGGAATAAATTGCCTAGGGAGGTTGTGGAATCTCCATCTCTGGAGATATTTAAGAGTAGGTTAGATAAATGTCTATCAGGGATGGTCTAGACCGTATTTGGTCCTGCCATGGGGGAAGGAGACTGGACTCGATGACCTCTCGAGGTCCCTTCCAGTCCTAGTATTCTATGATTCTATGATAGTTGGATTGGCTAGATGATAAGAGCCACCAATTAATAAACTAATGGGGAATTTTCCCATGGGATCAAAACTTAGTTATAAAAGAAAGGAAAACCCATTTCTAAATGCACAGACATCAGATTCCCATCCCTAAGCCATAAAACAATAAAACGGATTTATCTAGACTTTGCCCTACTTACAGATAGTGAAGAGTCTTTTTTTGGAGAGGGACTTGTTGTCTGTCCCCCTCAGTATCTGGAGAGTAACTGCTCAGGGACAAAGGAGGGAAAAAACAAAAATTCCTTTGTCCCAGTTTGAAATTCCTATCTGCATTTCTATTGGCTGAATGCTACCTGGCTAGGTATAGGGACATAGTTAACTCCTTAGTCCCCAGGCTGCTGGCCATCCCTCATGACCATTACACCCCCGCATGTCACTCAAAGCAGGCAGTGCAGGGGTGGTGGTTTCTATGCATTCTCTGGGTGCCAGGCACCCTGGGAAGAGGCTTTGTATGCTGCCTCCACCCCTAGCACAATTGCAGTGCAGGCAGTGTGCTAAGTACTCCCCAGAGGTGCACGGCTCCCAGAGAGCATATGGTCCCTGCAGCTGGACGCTTTGAGTGGTGTGCAGGGATATGGAAGGCAGGGAGTCTGCCTGAAGCTCCTGAACTGCTGATTGGGAGCCACCTAGATAAGCACCTCTAGGCCAGAGCCTGCACCTTGCACCCTAGCTCCTCCGTTCCCCATCTGCTCCCCCTCCTTCACCCCTGTCCCAAGTCACAACCAGTGTTCCCTCTAATCTTTTCCATCCATGTACGGATTTTTTTCCATTCATGTGTGGAATAATTTTTGTATGTGCTAAAGCATGTGCATGTGCAGTAGAAATAAAAACCTAGCTATGGGTGCTCTGCTAATCAGATGGCCAGATTTGAATCTCTCCAGAGCAGCCACACAAGCACCCAGCTTACAGGGAACACTGGTCATAATCCAAACCCTCTGCATCCCCAGTCCTGCACCCATATTCCCTCCCAGCCCAGTCCCCTTCCCCAAGTGACAACTTTCTCCGAGATCCTGCATCCCCTCCTACATCCCCTCCTCCAAGTCAGAATCCCCTCTTGCACCTATACCCCCTCCTGCCCTAGGTCACAACACAAACACCTGCATCCCCTCCTGCATACCTGCCCTAGGTCACAACCCCTTCCAGACCTTGCACCCCCTCCTACATCCCTTTTCCAGGTTAGAATCCTTTCCTGGACCAATGCCCTCTTCCAGATCCCACATCCCCTACTGTACCTAAATTCCCTACCTTGTGCTCCCTTCTGCACCCAACTCCATCCCAGACCCTGCACCTCCTCTATTAATATCATGGAAGAACACGGCCCTTGACTACTTACTAAATTCTTAGAATAGCCTCTGCATCAAAAATTATTGCCTACCCCTGTTCTAGCCTGACTTATGCAATACACTACAGATGTTATATTAGATTAGATCTAATCTAATCTAATCTATCTGTCTATCTAAAAGAACTACAGGCTCAGAAGTGGGATTAAACATACATGTGTATGTTTAATATATATGTTGAATCCCACTTCTGAGCCTGTAGTTCTTTTAGTCTGCAAATAAATGTATTTAATTTAAGAAAACTGAAATTATAAATTTGAGTTAGGATTTAGGCTTTCCACCATAGATCAACCTATCCTGGTGGGTTAATAATTCTATTTACATACTTGTTTTTCATCTCCAGGAGGCCTTGAGTCAATCTCAGATTGTCCCAGCTGAAACTACTGTCTGTCGTGTCAGCTTTGTCCCCTAAGAGATACTTGTCTTCATGAAATCACCATATTGACAGTCTGTGCTTTAATAAGCAGGACAAGTGTGCCAGCAGACAGTATTACCGCCTGTTGGCAGAATTTTGTGGAATTACAGGACTAGATTTCCAGAGTCTCCGTCTGGATAACATTGAAGGTGTGCAACCTTTGGTAAAACCATATGAAAGAGCTCAGTACAGCCTTTTCCTGCCTTAGGTCTCTCTAGCTAGCTCAACCAACCTTCACTTTCATAAATACTAAATCTCAATGCAAAGCATTTTTTTAAAATGGTCAATATGTCTTATATCTATGAAAAGCAGAATCTCTGTTCCTCCTAGATTCATGTGACATCTCCTTTAACGGATAAAGGATGTGTTGCAGCTTATTCCTTAAGCTAAAAGCATCTAGCTCGTGTCATTTGTGAAAATAGAGTATGGCACCAGTTACAGACTGTGTGGGGCATGTGAAAACTAGTATTACTTTTCAAAAAAAACTCTCTACTGTCTTTTAAAACTGCATTTTCCTTATTTTAGCCTCTGTCAGCCAGTAAATAATAACTAGCAAGCTGTGTAGAGGAAATCCAAGCTTGGCTGATTGATAGCCTTGTCATTTTGCCTGGCCTTAGAAAAACTGTCACTCTTGTGGCTGGCTGCCAGCAATCTCTTTTTCTCCTTTAATATATTCATTGCATGCAGGCAAAGACTAAATCAAGTTTGAAGAAGAAGGATTTCCTATGATCAGAGTATCTTTCATCTCAAAAGAGAGGAGAAAATATAGGCTTCAGGGGTACAAAATGGGGAAAATTAGGAGGAATTCTTGGGACTCAGCCAAGGGGTTCAAAGGCTACCATTACTTTTTCCATTCCCTTTTAAATGGTAACACATGCGTTCTAGGGAAGTTGTGTACTGTCATCCTTCCCAGGATACAGTTTTTGTGTGTATGTCACCATTTGTGACCTGTTTTTCTTTATATTCAGCCTTGTTTCTAAGGCAGACTCAAAGCAATAGCGCTGTTTGTTGCAGTCAGTGGTTGTGACCTCTGTTTTATGATAGGGATATTGATTCCTTCTAACCTAACTTGTGATTTGTGCCAAAAAATAAAATCCAGTTTCTTGCCTGCAGCCTTGTGCATCAGACCCATTTTACAGGCTGTGTGAGTGGCAAAGCTGAGTATTATTACAGTATTTTCTTCCTGCAGATGAGAATGAATGTGAAAAGGATAATGGAGGCTGCAGTGAACTTTGTGTGAATCTGAAGAACTCCTATCGCTGCGAATGTGGAATTGGGCACATCCTGGGAACAGATGGTAAAACCTGTGAAGGTGAGATAAAAGGCAAAGGAATGGAGGCACCAGCATGGAATTTCAATTTTGAAGAGCACCTTCTAGCACCAGTCATACTTCCATAAAGTTACATCAATCATTCCATTATTTCCTGCATAAATATTACCCCACAGTACTCAGTCAATCATGGCATTTTGCAGCTACTATGCAATACAATTGTGTTACTGTTGTGCTTGCCAGTAATTTGAAGAGAGTAGTGAAGAGGCTCCTTCCTGTATTGCAAATGTATGTTTTTGCTGGAATTTGTGAACCACCTTCTGATTGGTTGTTAGCAGATGCAAGTGGCCTTTATCTTGATAAAAATTAAAAAGGAAAGATGTTTCTCTCGCCCCTAACCGAGACATCTATACAGTACTTGGAACAGCACTTTGGAAGATGGCTCACTGGCTGCCTTTTGGGAATGATTAACTCCAGGGTGGAATTATAACAGTGGAAGGATGGGCCTGTCCTGGGGATGAAGCAGTCCCTTTCAGAGGGTAGAAGCTAAGATGTGGTTCTGAAAATAAATAGGTGTATCCCTCGAGGTCACCTTGAAACATGATCTGAGTGCAAATAGTGCAGTGATGGGACTTCCCCAGCGCAGCTGTCTGACACTCTGTGTGTGAACCCTCCCAGCATCACTGCATACAGTGATAAAAAAATGGAGACAAAATGAGGAGGCATAGGACAGGGAACTAGTGACTCACATGCAGGAGCTGAACAGGATTTTGTGTTGCCATAATCTGGCAAAAGATGAACGACAGATGGGATTAGTAAATGGGCAAATATCAGTTATGATTGTGACAGAGTTGGGTTTTTTTGTTTTGTTTTTGTTTTACTCTACTGAAGCTCCCCCTGAAATCCTAAACTTCACTCACAGTTCTAGAGAGTAGCTCTATGTATGCTAAAACAATTAGCAGTGAAACAGGTATCAAATATGTTGACACTGTGATGGAGAATTAACACCCTGTTGAGATAGATGAGGAATACACAAAACTGTATTAAAATCAGTGAGGTTGTACAAATATAAATTGAAGTAAGGTCTCATCAGGAACAACTTGTTTGTAAACATACATATTATAAACTGTTTTTACAGGAATGCTTTGGTTCTATAGACCCATCGGACACATGCTAGTAGAATGCACTACTTGGTATAGGTTCAGTAGGACCCTTCTTTCCTAAAAGGCTAAAAAGAAAAATCCAATACAGTGCAAATTTTAGGCCTTTTAAAACATAATTAAATCACATTTTTAGTTGGCAAACAAGGGAAAATTTCACAAGTTTTTATTAATGCCCTGTTAAAGTCAGAGAATTGTAACAAACACATGAAATCTGATAAACCGGTGTTACTGTTAACATTTCAAATGCTTTTTCGATTTGGTTTCCACAAAATTTTCATGAAGTAAAATCTCACCCAATTATTGCCCCCGTCCCCAAGCTCCAATCTAGTCAAATACTCTTCACACAACCAGAAGTATACTCTATAAGCTGCATAACTGATATTTAGTGTTTCATTCTGCAGGATAAGTATAAACTTGAAAAATTAAAAGTGATTTTAAGATTAAGGAAATATATATGTGTTGTAAAGAAAGCTCCTGACTATCAAGTAGAAGGGATAATAAGATAAGGGGAAGTTTCTAAAAAGAAGACCTGTGACTGGTGGGGGTGACTGCAGATGGCTTTAAATAAAAAAGAAATTTGTCTTAATTTGAGCTAACATAGCCCACACCAGTGTTAAAGCCTGCGTAAACCCAGGTGCAATGGGAAACTGTAAGACAGCATGAAGGAAAGGCCTTGGGAAGAAAAGTGGTTGTAAATCTTATCTGGATTAAGACTGGAAATAAGGCAGAGCTATTGCAAAATGGTTTTTAGCTCAAGTCAGTAATTGGCAATGGGTTTAAGGGTATAAAAAGTCAGCTCTTAAAGGGTTCATTCCTAATACATGCTGGACCATGTTGGAATGGACCAATTCAGGTCTGAGCACTTCTGGGTTTGGTTCATTTGTAAGTATCTTGATCAAATGCTTATAAACATTTTGTTACAGTTTGGATGTTCAGACTGAACCTCTAAAATCCAGGACTCTCTGGCCCAGCAACGTCCGTAGTCTGGCAGAACCACAGATATTGCTGAACCAAAGAGCCCCAGCTGGCCAGGTTCAGAAGCACAACCCAGGCTGGGCTGATGGTGGGGAGGTACTCTGGGGCCAGCAGCCAAGAGTGCAGCTGCAACTGGGGCTGGTGAGGTTGGGAGCGCAGCCCCGCCCAAGGTTAGTGCAAAGGGAAACCGCCTCAGCCGGAGCTGGTGCGGTGTGGGGGGGTAGATACATCCCCAGTCAGGGGGGCTGGTGGTGGGGAGCGCAGCCCCAGTTGGGGCTGCAGGCATCAGGGCCAATAGCCAGGAGCACAGTCCTGGCTGTGGCTGGTGGCGGGGAGCTTAGCCCCAGACAGGACTGAAGTCAGTGAGGCCAGCAGCTGGGCGTGCAGCCTAGTCCGATACTGTGGAGAGTGCAGCCTCAGTTGATGCTGAAGGAACTGGGGCCTGCCTCTGCATGGGGCAGGCGTGGTGGCGGATATAGCCCCTGCTGGAGCTGGAGGCAGCGGGGCAGGCAGCACAGAGCGTAGCCCCATCTAGGAGCAGAGCCAGACCTCTCCTTGTCCTGCAAACTCCATGGTTCAGGACCACCCAGGGCCCAAGAATGCCAGACAAAGAAGGTTCAACCTGTAGTAATTTGCTTCTCATTTTGGCTTTTTAAACATGTTTAGGGCAACTGCATCTGCATAAGATTTTGGGTTGAATAAAGGAATTTATGGCTAAACCAGAGTTTTGTGGTTTTCCATATTAATATTTCAAAACAATATTAATAATTCCAACACTTTCTGTTTTAGAAATTGAAGGTTGCCACAATAACAATGGTGGCTGCAGTCACACCTGTATTTCAGTGGAGGACACTTACCAGTGTGAGTGCCCACGGGGACTTGCTCTGTCAGAGGACAACCACAGCTGCCAAGGTAGGAATCTTCTGCTCACTCATCCTTTCCAGAAGGAGAACATGTGTGCTGTAGTCAAGTATCTAACAGGAAGGTAGGTTGGGGCTTTAACAGATTAAATGGTACTGTGAGATTACTGACAGTGGTGCCAATTAGTCAGTCATCAAGGTGTTTTGTGAAGGAATTCAGCATCTTAAAGAACAAGCAATCTTACTGTATTAAATTCAATTAAATGTATGGTCACATTTAAGAAGTAAAGCAGATATTTTACAGAGCTCTTTTATGGCTGCAGAAATACAAGCTTTTATTACCTCAAATCAAGATTATGGTGTTGTAATTAACTGCAAAAGTCTAGCGCACAACTCTGAGGTAGTTTGACTGAATCATATTGATACGATAGTTCTCCATGTATTAATCTCTTTCAGCGCAATTCAGGTTATTGCATCATTTGCCATTTGAAATAAAAAGGGAGTTGAGTCAAATAAATGTTTACAATTTTTAAAGTAATTTCCTCCTCTCATCAGTTGTATTCCTGCTACAGGTGGAAACTGAAATGCTTTTCCCCACCTGGGCATAAACAAACCTTGTGTATAACAAGAGATGTTATGAATCAGATTTTATTATAATTTGTCTGTATTGTGGTAGCCCCAAGAGACCTTGTCATGGACCCCATTGCACTAGGTGCTGTACAAAAATGGCCTTTGCTCCCCAAAGAGTTCATCTTCTAGGGAGAAACATACCAACAGACCCGGGGACTACAAGAAACCAGTGAGACAATATTGATCAGCATGATAGGCCATGGTCTCAGCACACAGTGCTTACAGCATTGTACACAGTATGCAGATTAGATCTCCTGCAAGCTGAATGGGATGACTCAAGTGCTTAAAACACCAGCAGCTTATTTACATTAGGGACCCAGGTTTGATAACGTTGGTGAAATTGAGCCAAAACTGTCAATATTGGGACATTTTTTCTGAAAAAATTCTTTAGTGTAGACAAAGTTCATTCTTACATTACATGCTCATCAGTACTGAATTGTGGCCTTGCTTTTTTAAAGTCCTTTACCAGTGGATGATGAGTTAATTTGTATTCAGACTGATTTATTGATAGCAATGAAACCTGTTCTAGTTTTAAGTGTCCCCTGGATTCATGGGTTCTCACACAGTCTAGAATACACCCTAGCCCAGAACTCAGGTGGTAGGATTTTCTTTTCCTTTCCCCTCAATATTTCAAGGTAACACCATTAAAAATAGAGATGGGACTAAATCAAAACCCTGCAGCCAAATGCCCCTGAACTTTGGAGATATGCAACCTGAATCTAAACTCCCTTGCTGTGGCCTGAGTTTAAAAGAGGCTTCCTCATTTGCTGAAGTGTTAAAGAAAGTCCTTAAAGTAAGGCTGAGTTCATCAGTTCTGCACAGTGCTACCTTTCAGGCAGACATTGTAAGTGGGTTCACAATGCTCCTGTAGAATCCTGAAAATAACATTTGTTTTCTTCCTGTTTTTATCTTTGCTATTTGACACACACTGATTATTTCTCACCCTCTTGTCTTTCTAACAGAGCAGGAGCTTTGTTAAGACATTGCCCTTTTCTTGAATTCTCCTTCCCCTTAGTGATGACAGAGAGCACATGGCTCTAGGAACACTGCTTATTATTTGGCACATCACACCAAAAATGGTGGCTTTTAATAAAACTATTCTCTATAATGACTTGAGGAGTGTTAAAAAATTGCTGCTTGTACAGTAAAAATGTTCACTGGGGAGGAAAATTGCAATTCAGTTATGTCAGTGTTGCTAGTTGTATCCCAGACCCAAGGAGACTGGAATTTAGTCTTCTTGGAATTAGAGAAGCAAACCTTGTGGAGTAGGAAGTGTTGAACTTTTTATTTTTATTTTTTTTTGAGTTGCCTAAATTTACCAGATTGATGAATTTGCAAAATATTTTGTCCTCTAATTTATAAATAAGTAATTTCAAATTTTCTGTATCTTTTCTAGGGTGTATATAGTATATATATTTAATAAAAAAATATTTTATCCCATACAAACTTCTTTTTAACAGTCTTTCTCTATCCTGTCCTCTCACTCTGCTCATCTTTCCCCAGTTTCTCTTTAAAAAATTCAAATTCAAAAATATTCAAGTTGAATTTTCAAATCCTGATTGTCCAAATGGCTTGGAATGGGGCAGAATGTGTTTGCTAATCATTGCCAAATGCATTACATTAAATATTGATTGTGATGGTCTTTCTGAACACCTCCATTCTGGCCAGACAACTATACAGGATGAATTTAAGCCCTCACAAAATCTTGTTCTAGCATGTCCTGGGACTTCTATACAACCTGAGTTAGATCCTCAAGGATGGTTCTGTTTGATTGTTACATAGTCCTTTGCCAGTAACATGCCTGGGTTTTCCCAAGACATTACACTATTAATGGTGTCATCTGAGCCTTGACTACATAAGTGTAATCTGAAAAAGAAAATTGAGATGCTCACACAAAAACTTGTCTCTTCAATTCTGTCTTCTGCTACTGGTTCAGACAGGATAGAAATTGCTTGGTTCCAGTATGCCATGTGGAAAATTTGGGGGTAATCTGCTGGATCTCAGCAATGCAGGAATTACACATTAAATGCAGCCCTCAGACTCTTGGCAACAGATTTGTCCCATGAAGAGGGAAAACTACCTTTTGAGGCATCTACAAAGTTAGAATCTGAAATGCTCAATCCTCTGGGATGAGAGAGCCAAAAACAGTGTCTATAGGCCAATAAAAGTTCATTTCAGGAAACACTGAGAGTGGAAGCGAAGGGTGGCTTGATCACAAATAGGAGTGCACTCTCCTCTGTGTTCACAGTAATGGTATGCAGAGTCCTTCCCCTGCCCCCCTTTCACTTGGCAGATTTGATGTGCTGATCATTGTCCTGGGGGGGGGGGGGCGTTCTTGCAGTTCCAGTGCTGTGCAAGTCCACCTCCATTGAGGTGAGCATCCCCAAGGAGCTGGTTGGAGGGCTGGATCTTTCTCTCATCAATGCCTCCTGCAAAGGAGTATCCAATGGCACCCATGTCAACATCAACTTCTCTTTGAAGTCCTGTGGCACAGTTGTAGAGGTATGTATCCTCATCACCATCTGCTTTGTCATCATCACTGTTCTCATGACATGCCTAGAAACAGGCTCATTTAGGGCCTGTATCTCTGGTATCTGTACTGAGGTCATTAAAACAACTGAAATGGGGTAGGGATACAGGGTTGGATTCTCAGTAAATGTTAAAACCCTTCTCACTTTGGCTGCATCGTATGAGTCATGAACCCAAACTCTTAACTGACTGAGCAGTGTGGAAATCCAGTTGAGCTGTGTTCCATAACATTTCTCATTGCACAGACAGAACCTCTCTCAGCCATTCTGTTTTCTAAGCTCCTACTGGCCATTTTATGAGACTAATATCACAGGTTAAAGTTCTATGTGGGAGAAAAATACTGGCTAGGTGTGTATCAACTATGGATATTTGTATTCCTACACACACTTCCTCTTAACTATTCACCCACCATAGTATAGAAGGCAAGGCCCTCACATGGCAGCCCCAACTCCATTTCCAAGGAGGAATGGACTGAAGGGTACTGCCTCTCTTGACTACTTTCAGCTCAGGAGGAGAGGAACTAGGACAGGAATTGAGCTGCCTGTTGGGCAGTACCTCAGCAATCTCAGTAGAGAACACAGGGAAGAAATTTCAGCTCAGAATGATGGGTAGATAAAAGAGCCTTGGCGAGTCCATCTTTCATAATATCTGTTTTTATTTGTGGATGCCTATTTTTTGCCCTGAAATAGTGGAACGAGCAGGTGTTTTCTAGGGATTTTAGCCCAAATTACTGTGTGGTAGCTGTAGTGAGAGCATCTTCTCCTGCTGCCATGCAAATAACCTCAGCCCAGGTCTGGAAGGGACACTGAAGTCTACACGTGAGTGTTTGTTCCCTCTCCCTTATTGGCTTAGTCCTCGTAACACACACATGCAAGAACTGAGGACTGAACTGAGACCACTAAATTCTGTTCAGTTAGGGTCTCAGAGTGGGTTTGAGCTTGCTCCAGGAGGGAATGGCCAGTTTTCATTCTGTCACACAGTAGCTGACTTGTTTACACAATGCAATCAGAAGGGAGCAAAGGAGGGGTGTCCCCATACTGGCAATTTCTCAAGAGCCAGAGGGCAACACCTTTTTCATTGTGAATAGCATAGCCAATTGCATGGCCTCCATTTATAAAGTTCCAGCCCATGGAAATATTTGTCCAAGCATGATGTTTGGATCCAAGTGACTCACTGCACCCAACTAGTGTCCATGGGCCCTACTAAAGATGAGGGTGACTGTGGCTGCCATGTAGAATTGTATTGGCTGCAGTTTGTTACAGCAAGAATAGTACACCCAATCCCTGGCTCTTATGTCCAAAATCAAATAGAATCTTTAAAAAAATTAAGGTTTTGTTGGATGCCTGATGTTTTCAGTTGCTTCGTGTCACGATCTTGCCCCCTTACCACCTCTTCTTGCTGTGCTGCAGGTAGTAAATGATAAAATTATTGCTACCAATCTGGTGACTGGCTTGCCCAAGCAAACACCTGGCAGTAATGGGGACATCATCATCCGCACCAGCAAGTTGTTGATCCCCGTGACCTGTGAGTTCCCCCGTCAATACACCATCTCTGAGGGCTACGTGCCCAACCTGAAGAACTCCCCATTGGAAATCCTGAGCCGCAACCAGGGCATTTTCCCCTTTACCCTCGAGATTTTCAAAGACAAAGAATTTGACGAGCCCTACAGGGATTCTCTTCCCACCCTAAAGCTTCGTGACTCACTGTATTTTGGGATCGAGCCCGTGGTGCACGTGAGTGGGCTAGAGACACTGGTAGAGAGCTGCTTCGCCACCCCCAGCGCAAAAATTGATGAGATCCTGAAGTACTACTTAATTCAAGACGGGCAAGTGTCACTGTTCTATTTCCCTTGTTTGTCTGATATTTTACCCCAATACCATTTGCCATCTGCATTACAGAGCACATACAGCAAATAGAAAACACCATCACCATACCTACATCCAAAATATCGGGGATAAAAGTCAAGCCTTATAATTAGTTTAGCTAGTTAACCACCATCAAATTTGAAGGGAACTGTGGCATAGAAACTCTAAGTGAAATACTGTGTAGGCATGAAATACGTTTTGGGAGTATCCTCCCTTACTTATTTTCCACCATGCCAAATCTCCCAGCTGACCAGTGCTGGAAGTACCTTACTTTGGAGCCCACCAAGTAGAAGGGTTACTCATTTAATGAAAGTGCCCTCTCTTCAGAGGCTGAGACCCATGGGTAAAGAGGCTGCTACTGCTCCCTCTGGCTTGAAGTGGTTTCCATCGTATACGCTGTGGTTCCCAACCTTTTCCAGATGGGGACCCATTTTGACAATTCAGGAAGACTTGGTGACCCAAGGCAATTCAAAAACGGGGGTGGGGGTGGAGGCGGAGACACTTGGTGACCCTTTTGAAATGTAAGGGCAACCCATATTTGGGTCCCGACCCATAGGTTGGGAAACCCTGGTATACAGGGTTTATAGTTTAGTGGCTCTCAGCACTCCCATTATACAGATTGTTCTAGCACCTTGATGTGCTGCAGTATAGCATGCTGTCACTAGGCCAGCCTATATTTAAAGTATGTTCTTAGTATCCCTATCATAGCCTCTAAGCAAGCAAAAAGCTGATCATAGAGAAAACAAACATTATCTCTCTCTAGAGTGTATACCCAAGCCCAGTGGTGTAAGGCGAATTCATTAGAATCAAATCATAGTCCAGGACATTAGGAGGGGCTTGATTTAGCCCAGTTCACATATTTTAAGATGGTTCCAACAGTTATCTAGTGCAATGCACACTATCGTACCCAGCTTATGCAGAGTTCTACTAGAGTTAGCAACATTCTGCAGGCGGAGGAATCTAACTGACTGAATGTCCCACAGGTTTTAAATGAACATTCCAGTATCAACAGAATTCTTTTTTTCTTTTTTGTAAGTGAATAGACTGTTCTGTGTAATGAACAATTCATCAAATATTGTCCTGCATTTTGCTTCAAATATTTCAATGCAAGGTGTCTGTTAAAAGTACAGCTAGAGTCTTTCAAGTTTTGTTTCTCTGCCCTCCACCATTTCCACTAGAACCTCTTTTAAAACATGTGAAGTCCACATTTCTGAGATTACTTTATTGAAGAGGACATTCTGTACTGGAATGCAGTACAACTTCAGAGTAGCATTTTAAAATTGGCTGAGCGTTGTAATGATTAGGGATGTTAGATATTGTGTAACTGAATAGTTGTGTAACTGCATGAAATCTTAGTGGTTATATGACTATTCAAATATAACCGTCCCACTCCCAGAGAATCCCTTGCCACCCCATGTTGTTGCCTCTGTATCAGAGGCAGCAGTGCAGGGTGGCAGGCGGGAGATGGTCCACCAGGACAGCCAATTTAAAAACCAGCTCCCTGCACCGACTGGCTGCCTGCCGCCCTGCACAGCTGCCTCTGATACATGAGTACAGCTACAGAGGCAGGAGTGCAGGGTGGCAGCAGCCCCATTCTGCAGAGGTCTGATCTCCCCTCAGACAGAGGCTAGTCCATAGCAGCAGCGGCGGATTTAGGGCAGGGCGAGCAGGGCAGCTGCCCCGGGCCCCATGCTTCCCGAGGCCCCGTGCATGCGCTGTGTCAAAGGGGGGGACCCACGACACTCTCATCTGCCCCTGCATAGCAGCCTCCCCTGTCTGCGGGAGCTCAGAACCCCGGCAGACAGCTGCTGCTGACACAGACCAGCCTCTGTCCATGGTGAGCCTTGGCTGTCACGAACAGGGGCTGCTTCACGGCAGCCTTCCTTGCCCTCCGCCACACTACTGTGCAGGTAGCAGTGTGTGTGTAGGGGGGAGGTGGACGGATTCGATGCTCATTAGGAGCCTGCTTAAAGCCTGCTCCTCATGGACACCGGCTCCCACTCCCCCCTCCTTGATGCGTCTGGTATAGAAGAGGCGGGGGGGAGGGGAAGAAGTGTGTGTAGTTGACAAGATTAGTCCATAAGACAAGGCTTATTGGTTAATCGTGTAGTCAACTACACATTGACATACCTAGTAATAATCAACAAAACATGTATTAAATTTTATTTTTGTTAGTTCTTTCTAATTTTGTTCAGATGTGAAACTTAAGTTCTGTAAAAACAATTAACCATTCTCCTGTAGTGTTCATAGAAATATATGAGAGATCTCCAAGTCCAGCTCCTAGTGCTGAAGCAGGGTCACGTATACCTAGATTATCTCCAAGAGTTCATGGTCTAACCTGTTCTTAAACAGATTCCACATCCTCCCTGAGAATCCTATTCCAGAATTTAATTATCCTTATAGTTAAGTTTTCCTAATATCTAACCTTGCTGCAGATTCAGCTTATTGCTTATGTCCCACCTTAAAGGGGATGCGAAGAACAATTGATCACCATTTTCTTTGTAATAGCCCTGAACATATTTGAAAACTGTTATCAGGTCTCCCTTCTGTCTTCCTGTACCCTAATACCATCATATCATTCTAGAGACACTGAACATAACATTGGCTAGACATGGAGAAGTCCATCAGTGTAGTTTCACATGCCAAGCTAAAGAAATGCAAGAAGTAAACAAAAGCATAAATGGTGAAACGTACATGAGACTTTTAAAATGCTTTGTTTTCAGCTAAGAAATGTTAATAACACAGATAAGGATGTTTTATTTTAAAGTAAATTATTTTTATCTTCTCAGTATCCCTTGAATTATGACATTATATTTTTTAAATAATTCAGCAAATATCTGAATCTGTATGTCACTATTGATCATTGAAGACTCTATTGCCCAGAAAGGTGAAATGAGGATAAATTGGACTGCAATTCTCTGACAAATCTTCTGGGTTGTGGGTATGTGCATTGTTGCTTGCATTCTGCCAGTTCTCTTTGCTGCAGAGCTGTTCTGGAGATCCTATCAGTCACCACTGTTGTTGTTTTTTTTGTCGTCTCCTCCGCCCCCCGCCCCGTCTTCATTCTTGAATAGTCTGCTGTGGCCAAAGACAAAGTACTATGGATGATAACTAGGTGACTAAATATATTGGAATACTTTTTTTCCACCTCTGTGAAAGCTATTAACACTTCTTCCTATGCTTTCTTCAGCTGTGTTTCTGATGACTCCGTGAAACAATATACGTCAAAGGATCATCTTGCCAAGCACTTCCAGGTCCCTGTGTTCAAGTTTGTGGGTAAAGACAACAAGGTGAGCTCAGAACAAAATTACCTCTTGGCAGACATTGAATCAGCTCATCACAGGCCTAGAAGACTCTGCTTGGGGCTGATTCTTTATGCTTATGGTATTACAGTAGCAGTAGAGAGTCAGGAAGAGGCATTGCCATACAAGAACAGATTGATGGTCTGTCCAGCCTAGTATGCTATTTCATTCAAGTGCCTACGTCATGTGCTTTTACAGGAAAGTGGTGAGGGAGATGGGGTGGAAGCCTTGGAAGTTGTTCAGTGCCATGGCACAATATCTTCCTAACTGCAGAAAGAAATTGGCTTGGGCCTGAAGCATGAATCTTGTAACAGTTGTTCTACCTCGTGTAGTGTAACTGCAGATTCTGTTCTGTCTTATTCTTTGGTCTACACCTGTTTGAATTTTATTAAGCTGTTCTTGGGTGGTATCAGGATCAAAATTCAACCTTACCTTCACGCAGAAAAATGCGGGATGTCCTGCTGTCTACTTAGAGGAGACTCTACTACCCTCTCCCATCATCTGGGCCATGGGAGTTGCCATTCTATCACTCAATCTTCCTCACTGCCTAGAAATGATAGCTGCCCTGTTCACATCATCCTTCCATGGTTGCCCCCTCACACTACACAGACCTGTTTGTTACATTTCCCTTACTATCCCCACATGGTCTCCTACTGCTCACATTTCCCCTCACAGCTCATGCCACATCCCACTGTACTCACTCCTGCTTTATGCGCCTCACTGTCCCTGAGTCCTCATAATATCCTGTTTTGTTTCCTGACAAACTGCCTTATGTGTATTGTCCCTTCAGTTTCATTTCCTGCACCGGCACATTCTCTTGCTCCTGCCTGCCACTCACATAGTGACTAAGGGAGCCACCATCTCTGAGCTCAGTTAGATTACAGAGTCACTGGAAACAACAAGTAAGGCAGCCATTTTTGCTGGGAGCAGCCTCATTTTCTGCTGTGAAGGTTAAAGGGCCTGGCAATGAGGACAGCCTGTGGTTTCAGTCCCTTTAGTAATGGGAGATGGTGTGGGTCTTGGATAAGGAGTTGATTGTGCCAGCTTCGGATACCATGGGAATCGTTTTGAAAAAAAATCAGCTACATATTGTGAGAGCTGGTAGCACTGCTTATATGAAAGCCAGCACAGTGGCTCTTCTCACTGACATCTCCTTGTCATTTCACAATCCTGCAGGAAGTATTCTTGCACTGCCGTGTCCTTGTGTGTGGCATGCTGGACGAGAGGTCACGCTGTGCCCAGGGGTGTCGCAGACGAATGCGCAGGTCAGCTGGGATGGAGGAAGAGAAGGAGGAACCTAGTCACATGTCAAACCATATCCTGACAGGTGGTCCCATTAGAATCGACATGGATGAGTAGCAACTCTCTTACCATCACAATGTAGAGGACCCTACCAAATTCACAGCCATGCAAAATGTGTCACAGACCATGAAATCTGGCCTTTTGTGTGCTTTTACCTTATACTATACAGATTTCATGAGGGACACCAGTGTTTCTCAAGTTGAGGGGCCTGACCCAAGTTATGGGGGATCACAAGATTATGGAATTGCCACCCTTACTTATGTGCTGCCTTCAGAGCTGGGCAACTTGAGAGCAGTGGCTACAGCATTGGCCAGGGCCCAGGTCTGAAGGAAGCACCCAGCCAGCAGCAGTGCAGAAGTAAAAGTGGCAATAAATACCATGCCCATGTCACCCTTTCTTCTGTACTGCTGATTTCAGCATTGGGCACCTGGAGAGTGGCAGCTGCTAAGGTCGTAGCCCTGCAGGCAGTGGTGCAGAGGTAAGGATGGTATGATAGTGCCACCCTTATCATACCATCCTTATCTCTGTGCTGCTGCTGGTGGTAGCTCTGCCTTCATAGAATCCTACGGTTGGAAGAGACCTCAGGAGGTCTTCAAGTCCAATGCCCTGCCCAAAGCAGGATCAATCCCAACTAAATCAGCCCAGCCAGGGATTTGTCAAGATGGGTCTTAGAAACCTCTAGGGATGGAGATTCCACCACCTCCCTAGGGAACCCATTCCAGTGCTTCACCACCCTCCTAGGGAAATAGTTTTTCTTAATATACAACCGAGACTTCCCCCACTGCAACCTGAGACCGTTGCTCCTCCTTCTGTCAATTGTCACCACTGAGATCAGCTTCTCTTCAGAGCTGGACTCTTGGTCAGCAGCCACCACTCTCCAGCTGCCAGCGCTAATGGCAGCGCCACCACCAACAGCAGCACAGAAGTAAGGCTAGCAGTGCGGCCACACACACACCTTCACACTCCCGCAATAAACTTGTGATCTCACACAACTCCTTTTTGGGTCAGGACCCCTACGATTACAACACCGTGAAATTTCAAATTTAAATATAGGAAATTATTATATTTACAGTTAAAAAAAATCCTATGACTGTGAAATTGACCAAAATGGTCAGTGAATTTGGTAGCACCCTAACAATGTACCTGCTCTCCTTACTGATGTCTTGTCCTATGCATCTTGGATGCTGTTAAAAGGGTATTTGCTAAACCCCTGTGTGAGTCTGTCATCTAGTTTCATTAGCAGACTGACAGTTACTTACTTGTGTGAATCTATATTAGACATGAAAGGCAGCCCATCCCTATGTAATCTGATCAGCTGTGGAATACAGCTGTGCTTGCATTTCTGACAATTTAAAGGAGATATTTTAGTCATAGGCCTAAAGTATTACCTGCCTTCATTTTTTTGATCTATGTTTGCAAACTGCATAGTGTTGTTAAAGAATCATTTATGACAAATGTTTAAGCATGTTTTGAAGCAAATTGCTAATGCTTTGTTTTCTAAAGACAATACAAACAGTGTTAGGAGCCCAACACAGGACATTTGTGCTGAATAACTCAGTGGTAAGGCTGTTTATACAGTGAGTTGGTGGGAAATGTGACATCCAGGTTGTGAAGGGTGGTTATGAAAATACATATAAATATATATCTCATAAGTATGCAAACTACTGGAAATGCTAACAGAACAGTAATATGCAGTGAAAGCTCAGAACGGTTACAGGCAAATGTGCTTATAATTGTGCAAAAATAATTATTTCAAAGATTAGTTTTATATTTTCCTCTTACAAATACTTGTTTACAATATTTTTCTCTTTATTTAGTGTATCATTTCTTTATCTCTCTTCCCCCAATCCTGTCCCACTCCACTCCCCCACTGACGTGGTGATAGATGGTGCATTTTTGTAAGTGGTGTGACACTTCAATTATAAAAAAAATTAAAAATCTCTCAAAACGAATACAAAGTGTGATGCTGTGATCTTCTGTGACTTGGATGTTCGAATGCATTAACCTAGAACAAGATAGAGGTGTTAATGAAATGCATACTATGAGCAATTGATGGAAACACTCCATAAGTGGTGCTAAACACAGAGGATCAGGTTCAAAAGTCCCATCAGGGCTGGTTACTGCAGAAACTCTCAGAAAGTTCTTGAAAGAAAGGAGCTACTGGGCTTGTCTTTGTGCTTACGGGGTTTTCTGCAAATGAAATTCCTTGTGTACAGTTCTGGCCACTGCTGTTCAAGGTAAACAAGACTTGTGTACATTTGTAAATAAATAAATTGCACTTGAAAATCCCATGCGTCTGTATCATCAATTTTTCTTCCAGTTGGAAACTGTCCAAAGTCCAAAATCTGTTATCACTTGCAATGGGCAACAATATAAAAAGAGGATTACAACCACAGTATTCAGTTTCAGAGCTTTATTTCCTCCAGCAACCAGACTCGGGAATACAAATTAGAATGTAGCATTATTGATTTATTTGGTAGCACTGATTTTTTAAAAATGGCTTTTATCCTGTCATCTTGAATAGAGAGAGAGAGTGTGTCTATGTTGGAAGAAGAGCAATAATGGAAAAATTGCTGGTAAAATAATATGAATAAGTAGAGAGACACTATTGTTTTGATGTTTTATCTAACCACTAAAATAAAAAAAAATGGAAATGTAACATACTGTATTACTGTATTTCTCCTGATGTTTCTGCTGATTCATTTCGGTATGAGGATTGTTTTAGCAATGTTATATTGCCATTTTAACTTTTTTCAAACACCCAGTGTTTTAATTTCCTTATGTTAATAGGTCCTGTGCTGTGAAATAAGATGAATGTTCAGCCTTTTTGCTGTGGAGTGGGTTTTTGTTTTATTGTGCTGTTAACCTAAAAGGTGGAGGCTTTTTGTTTCACTCTTGAGCAGAATAGTTGGCTCTTACTGAGAAACTGTGATGGAAATCTCCTTTCTGATCTGCAGCCTTTTATTGAAATTAATTGTAAAGTAAATGGGAAGAAAGTGGAAATCGCTATCTAAGACTGGGCCCTAAATCTTTCCCTGGTTCAGAAAGATCCTGCTTGGAATAAACAATCTTAGCTGTAGCCTCTGGAAGTTTTGACTGAATTTCAATTTGTACACTGGCCTCATTCCAACCCCCCAAACCATCTATTACTGAACTCCAATAATGCTGCTCACATTGGTCAACTGTTCTTGTAATCCATTCCATTTTTGTGTCTGTGAATTAAGTACTAACCAAGTGCTTTGTTGACACATCCTGGTTTATCTACAGAACAGGTAGGAGTAGCAGAAGCTTTGCTAAACCACTGTCTAACTGCCTCCTCTCTAACCTTCAGGGACTGCCTCTGGCAACTTATGTTGTCCTGAGGCCTTGTCAGAAGTAAGAAGCAAAAAAACCCAAAAAACCAAAACCCACCTCGTTGATGTGGCCCCTGACAGAGAAGCAGACACTCCCCACATTGCCCTTGCACACCAGAGCCTAAGGGGGGCCCAGCTAGTAGATTTTGTGGCCCCCCCATGGCTTTTGGGTGGGGCCAAAAATGAGTGGTTCAGTGGGGAGGGGAGCAGGCTTGGGTTGTGGGGTCTGGGCAGGAGTGGTTTGGGGGTTGGTGGGTCTGGGAGTTATGTGCCCAGGGACAAAGGCAAAATTTGTGCCTCTCTCCCCCCCACCCTCCCATCATTTGTTCAAGGGCCCCAGTGCAGCCATCTCAGGAGTAGCAGCACTTGTATGGTCCCCGTGCCCATGGCAACCCGGAGCCACCTAGGGTTGCTAGGTGTCCGGTTTTGAACCCGACAGTCCAGTATTTGAGCTTTCTGTTCGGGAAACAAATTGAGAAAATCTACATGTCTGGTATTTTCTAAATAAGATGTAATGTCGATTGTGATGTAATGTCAAGTATGTTTGGTATTTTTGTTGAAACCATCTGGCAACCCTAGAGCCACCTGCGGGGGAGGAGCGGAGCAGCTGGGCGCACAGAGGGGCTCTGCCCCTGCTGCGCTCAGCTGCAGACTGGAGGGGGCTGGTGCCCGGGCCCTGGGGTGGGGCTCAGGGGTACTTGGCTTTTCTTGGTGCACGGACTCGCCTTCCCGTCCCAAACCACACGGCTGACAGAGGGCCACGGGGAGCCTGCCAGCAACTGGCCAGCCCCTGTCTTGCCCTCCACCCCTTGGGACCCAGGTTGGGGGTGGGATCTGAACTGCGCAGCAGGGGCAGCAGCAGCTCTCAAGACAGGGGCGTTGGGCTGCTGGGCAGGCCTTTGAAGTGCCCACTCCTGCATCCAGCCCTGCCTTGGCGGCTTGTCTGCAGGGAGCAAGTGGCCCACCAGCGCCAGACTTGCCGCATGGGGCTGTGCACTCCCACCCCAGCCCAGTGTCTCCCTAGCATGGTGCCCAGGGGCAACTACCCCCCGCCCCCGGCCTTATGTCACTACACCACTGGAGGGTGGTAGGGTGCAGGGGTGGGCTGGGGGTCAGAGGACAGGGCAGGAGATAGGGGGCAAGAGCACAATGGGGGTGTGGGGTCTGGGCAGGAAGGTGGATGCAGGAGCAGGCTGGGGATGAGGAGGTCTGGGAGGGAAGGGGGGGGAGGAGCC